CCCACAGTCTCTCTGGTGTTTCTTTTCGACAGCTCCTCTGACAGTCTCCCCTCGCAGGTCGTCGTCACCGCAGCCCTCCGCACACCCTTCACCAAGGGTGGCAAGGGTGGCTTCAAGGACACACAGGCCGCCGACCTGATGGCCGGCGCCCTCAAGGCTCTCCTCGAACGCTCCAAGATCGACCCCGCCCTCGTCGAGGACATCGCCGTCGGCACCGTCCTGGCCCCCGGCGGAGGTGCCACCGAGATGCGTGCCGCTGCTCTCGTCGCTGGCTTCCCCACAACCACCGCCGTCCGCACCCTCAACCGCCAGTGCTCCTCCGGTCTCCAAGCCTCGGTCGACATCATCAACCAGATCAAGACTGGCATGATCGAGATTGGCATCGGTGCCGGCGTTGAGAGCATGTCTACCCAATACGGGTATGTCCACCTTTGTTCCTCCTTTTAAAAGATCCCTATTGACTCGTTCGCGTCCAGTCCCGGTGCCGTTTCCGAGTTCTCCGAAACCCTCGAAAACTTCACCGAGGCCGCCAACTGCAAGGTCCCCATGGGTGTCCTCTCCGAGGACATGGCCCGCGACCTCGGCGTCCCCCGCACCAAGCAGGACGCCTTCGCCGCGTCCTCGTACGCAAAGGCCGCCAAGGCCCAGAAGGAGGGCCTCTTCGACCAGGAGATCGCCCCCCTCAGGGTCAAGTTCGAGGACCCCAAGACTGGCGAGACTAGTGAGATCACCGTCGCCAAGGACGACGGCATCCGCGCCGGCGTCACGGCCGAGTCGCTCGGCAAGATCAAACCCGCCTTCGCCAAGGACGGCAGCATCCACGCCGGTAACGCCTCCCAGGTCTCTGACGGCGCCGCCGCCGTGCTCTTCATGAAGCGCTCCACCGCCGAGCGCCTCGGCCAGCCCATCCTCGGGAAGTTCGTGGCCGCCTCCATCGTCGGCCTGCCGCCCCTGCTCATGGGCCAGGGCCCGGCCAAGGCCATCCCCGTCGCCAACGCCAAGGCCGGCATCGCCACCGAGGACGTCGACATTTACGAGATCAACGAGGCCTTTGCCTCGCAGTGCCTGTGGAGCGCCGAGCAGCTCGGCATCCCGTTCGAGAAGGTCAACCCCAAGGGCGGCGCCATCGCCTTCGGTCACCCCCTAGGCTGCACCGGCGCGAGACAGATCTCGACGCTGCTGTACGAGCTCAAGCGGACGGGCAAGAAGATTGGCAACACGTCCATGTGCATCGGTACCGGTATGGGCATGAGCGCCGTGTGGGTTGCTGAGTAAACGGGACGATGATCTGAGATGATGAAACTTTGTATTTTAGTTATAGCATTGGGCCTGGTTGTATATCAACAGAATGGGTCTTGGATTTAGGCGTATGAAATACGATGGTCTATGATATCTATACCCTTTCCAGCTTTCGCATGGTGACTATCGTGTACCTCATGCTCATAGTATACCTATGTGTCTTTCCAAAAAAAAAACAGTCCAGCATATTTGGCCCTCAAAATGATGGAACAGAGACGACAATTCCTAGTCCACCCGGACGCCGAGGCCATGCCATATGCCAGTGCTTAGATTGAGCATTGCTTAAATTATGGCAACCTCTACAGTCCAACCGCTCCACAATACGCAGAGTTTTCTTCTTCACGACAAGAGACCAAGCTCCAGCCCGCAATGAAAAAAAGAAACGCCTGTCAGACGTCCATCGACACCCACCCCGACCGCGCGCCCGAAGGCAAGACCGCGGCCGGGGACGAGATCATCACCGCTCTCTATACAGCAGGGTCACGAGGACCCTGCCGCCCCCCTTGCGGAGGGTGCGAGAGCAACCAGAGTTCTTCACTCTAGGGTGTCGAGGATATCACTCATCAACCAGGGTGGGATCTGTGGCTCCTTTAGGGAACCAAGAGAGGGTCGAATACTATAGAAATGATTCTCCTGTTGAGGCGGTTAGCGGGCTGTTTGTTCGTTTGCTGTGTTGCCCGCGGGGCGCGAGGCAAAGGCAAAGTTAGGGGGTAAGACGTACTGAAGTATTGTCGACATAAGGAAAAAAAGAAGAGGAAAGATGAAAGCCTGCGCGAGGAGGACGACATTTTATAGAGGTTGAGATTTCGGGACGGGTGGGGCGGGCGGTCGGTCGGCCCCCACTGCTGGTTGGGAAAGCACCGAGTGGCTTCCGTACGAAATTTTCTCGCGGTGGGGGGCCGTCAGGAAGGTACGAGGCGATCGGGTGCCTTCATTAGAAAAATTAGACGAAGTGAACGCTGCGTACCTCAGGCTGCGAGAAGAAAGGAGGGTCTTGAATTTTGAGGGACTGAAATATGTGATGTGACTGAGGTGACGGGAGTGAGATGAGTGGTTGGATATCGCGATTACACTTGCATCAACAAGGTGAAAAGAAACGACACAAAACAACCAGTCAATGAGCAAAGGCTTCGATTTCAGAAAGCCAAAGTACAACAGAGGTCCATTGACATGCGCTACATATGAGTTGGTTTGCGCACCTCTGTCCGACTGGAAGTTCAACTCGGTAGACTTTGATGGCATGCTTGAGTTTGGCCCTACTTAGATCAGTACCAGGACGAAACTGCTAACTAAAAGCATCCAGCTTGGTATGGTTTCGTGGTGTAGTTGGTTATCACGTCAGTCTAACACACTGAAGGTCTCCGGTTCAAGTCCGGGCGAAATCAATCTTTTGCGTTTTGGCATATCCAATTCCATTTGCAATGTGCGTTACATTTATGAGGAATAAATTTTTCTTCTTCTTCCTTTAGTGCTTCTCACATATCAACCAACGTCTTAGGGTGCACTATTTATTTTCTATTGAGATGGACAGCTGAATGGAGTATCTGCCAGCTCATTTGGCCTATTCCCGAAAGCTTTGAGATCACGGCTTCCCCAGCATGCTATCTCACCTGCCTTATTCATGTACACAACGTATATCGTTCTGTAACTTGTCGTGATCCAGTAGCTGGCTTCCCGTCTCTAGTGGGTGTTCGGAAATTATGTTGTTCCATCCTACCAATTTTGAATGAGATGTACGCCTGGCTGAGAGCAAACAACCTATACACACAATCAACTAACGGTTGTTGATACCCGGGGTCTTTGAGCTGGTTACTCAAAGCGACTTCCGTCCTTGAGTCATCGCCAATTCCAACGAAGGCGGTCCGTCGGGTCATTTCGGGGGCGGTTATCAAAGATCACAATTGAAGGGTTCTAATGTTTGCAGTCGTGGTCATTGGAATATCTTATGATTTGATGAGGTCTCGAGAACTAAGAGCCTGCATAGGACCGTGGCAACGGGGTAGAAGACCGCCACGGTGCCATTTGAGATGTCTACGAATCCCGCATTCACCGTGGCCACTGCGTCTAGAGTCTGTCAGGGGCGTACTACAACATCGTCCACCAACTCTCGTCTTCTAAAAGTCTGATCAACTTCCCTCGGTCAAATGCATGCCATCATCTCGCATGTTGCAGGAACAAAAAAAGGATGTGTCCAATCAAACGCCCCGACCAGCCATGACCTCGACACATGCAAGGGCAGAAAAGGCAAAAAGAGAAGTTCTCCCCTTCCAGAATCGAACTAGAGACCTTTCGATGACAATGTAACCATTACAGTCGAACGTGATGAACCAACTACACCAAGGGGAGATATCAAGGCTAAGCCTTGCTCGGTGGTTGAGAGCTCCGCCGCGCAAATTGCCCAAGAGGGGTCACGGCTCCATTCGCGCGATCAGCGCCCCCACCAGGCCCCCTCCATCTTCGAATCCGGCATGTATGTGACCCAACGCCGAGGGGTCAACAGTCCGCAAGGAACTCAGGTCCTGTATGGTTAATTCCGCCAAGGCGTTGGCAGATTTCCGTTTGTGTCACCTTGCGTTAGGTATTCCTCAAGCTGAGTATGTCCAAGACATGACCTTCGATGTATACTTGAGTGGGGACGCGGATATCTACCAAACAGGCCTGCGATGCCGCGAACGGGTGATATAGTTTATTCAAAAAGTAGCCACGATGATATAGGTCGTTTTCCATATGAAAGAAGGAAGCTTCAGGGATTAACTTGGTAAGCTTGTAAAGATGTGAATCGCGGAAGAAACGCCCCATCCGTTCCCCTTATTTCGTCCTGTCCTGTTATCCTCTACTTCGGGCTCCTCTCTTATTTGTCTAAAGCTGGGTGTATCCATCTGCTCTAAGTGAGGTGTCCAGATGCAACGGCTTTCTTCTTTTCGTTTTTTAAAAATAATTGAATTATCCCTTTCACAGTGCCCAAATTGTCCGCACTGATAGGCTAATGCCGGCGGTAGAAATGGCCTGGCCGCATCTTCCTGGCAGTTGTCGGTACGTCTTGTCCATCCTTGAACGAACAGAGACTCGGCTGAAACCCTATATGGATTTCATAGTGTGATAAGTAATAGAGTTGGGTGCTCACCTCGTCATTACAACTAAGTAATGTCATTGGCGTTAGGGTCGTATCATCAATAAATGAATAATCGAGGAGAAGACCGAAACGCGTATGCTATGCGGCAAGTCCGTTTTTGATTACGTTTTCGGCAAAAGCCAATCTTGTTGTAGGCTAAACGCTATGTCAAGGGGTGGAACTAGACAAGTCCTCGATGGCATTTTCAGGGAATGGTCCCCCAATTCGCACTGCTTCTTCTTGACGATGTTCATGGTCTGTTCATATTTATACTTTCGCGGACAGAAGAAAGGGATGGAAATCATGAGTGGGGAATACCTGGTCTTCGTGCATTTCGCCTCCTAGACAGGAGACTCTTACCACGGCCAACGTCTGGATTCTATTCGTATGGCGTTGTGGTACAATGCTCATCATGTACTACGCGTGTACAAGAAACAGGAGGTCGTGGCGGGACAGGTTTTCACACAATGCACATGGACGCGATGACGAACTTGGAGAAAGTCTCATTGGTATCATTGTCACCAGCACCTCTGAACAGCCGTCCGACTGTCCCGCGAACAGAGCAAGTCTAATCAAACTATCGCCTCCATCAGAACCCCTCAACCTGTGTCCCGATCCCCTTCTCCCTCGCAAGCTGGACCATGTGCATCCCGACCGCCAAGTCCATCAGCCCCAGCCCGACGCTCTTGTAAATGACTGTCCCGTCCCGGAGCCACTTGACCAGCGCGTCCTCCTTCTTGTGCTTCTCAGACGACTTCTGGCTCGAGCTTCGGCGCAATATGCTCGGCCCCTTGCTGCTGTGGCTGCCCGTGGTCGAGTCCTTGCTGATGGACGACCGTGAATCCGACGCAGATGCCCCATCTGACCCCGAGAACGCCGACTTGATCGACGGCGTGCCCGAGAAGTCAAGCTTGTCGAGCTCCGAGGGCGCGATGCTTGCCGTCTCGCCCTCGGCCTCGGCCGCTTCCTCTTCCTCGTGCATGCGGCGGAGCATGATCAGCTCCCCAAGTCTGGGATTTCACATTAGCTACAACCGAACCTCCAAGGGTTGTTGTGAATAGAAACTCACTCAACAAGCTGCGTCGGCTGCAGCCCAGCCGCGATGATCTCCCCAGCCTCCTTCAGCGCCCCGTCCAGGGTGTCGACCACAATCACCCCGCCCTCGGGCGCATGCTTGTGGAAATGCCAATGCGGCTTCTCGTGCTTCGTCGCCTGCAGCAGCAGCCCCTCGGGCAATTCCCTCATCTCGGGCGTGTAGCTCCCAATCGCCGCCACGAGCCTCCCCTTTCTCCGCCCCTCGTGGTTCGTGAGCACCTCGGCCTCGAACAGGTCCTCCGTCGACGGCGTGCAGCAGTACACCACGTCCGCGTCGCGAATCTGCTCCCTCTGCAGCCGCTTGAACTCCCCGTACCCGGGCGTGAGGATGCAAAACGTTGTCCCGGCCCAGCCCTCGCGCTCCTTGATGTGATGGGGCACCTCGTAGAACTGCTGGAGGAAGACGCGTGCCTGGTCCGAGAAGCGGCGGTTGATGACGTTGACGTGCTTGATGGTCGACCCGCGGATGAGCAGGGCCAGGCGGACGTGCCAGTAGGCCTGGAGGCCGACGCCAAAGACCGTGACGGTCTTGACCTGTCCGCGGCGCGCGAGGAGGCAGGTCGAGGTGAGGGCGGTGCGGAAGGCCGTCAGGGTCTTTGCGTGGAGGAAGCCGACGGGCTGGCCCTCGGGGGAGAGGAGAGTCACGGCGCCGGTGGGCTGGATGGTTGGTTTGGAGGGGTCCTGGGTCGCTTTGCTGGAACTCAGGGTCACGACTGTGAGGCGGAGGGGTTAACTTGAGAGTGTGTGAGTGTTGCGGTGCGGGGCGTGTGAGACTTACCTTTGCATCCCATGCCCTGGGGCCTACCGAGGGCATGTACAGGGTCGTCGCGCCGGTCCGAAGGTTCTCAGTTGAGATGCGCTCTGGTTGGTGATAAGTGCCATCCTCGATGTTGTGGGTGTTGGTCGAGTACTCGTGAAGTGCTGTTGAGATGGTTTTCCTGAAGCCCTCGAACTCGTCGGCAGTCAGGTCAGCCAAGATGGCCTTGATCTGGTCGTCCGTGAGAACCGTCAAGACCATGGCTTGCTATGTAGTGAGGGTGCTTAAGTATCCAGGGTTGTTAGTGTGATACCGTAAGGGGAGGTCGAAAAATGCCGGTTGACCAGATGCGATGAGATATTCAGTTTGTGCGATGATTTGCTTTTTGAGCGGGGTTCTTCTTTCTTTGCTGACTCGGGCTTACGGAGCTAACGCCGTACTGATATATCCAAACAAAAAGGTTAAAAGAGAACAGTTCTTACTCACCTGCGGGTTGGTAATGTACAGTCAAGTCCCTACCAGCCGATCCGCGCCAAGATATAGGGAGATAGGCGCCCCGCGATGTGCGAATGCCGTGTTATGATGTAATTTTCGCTTCCGGTTCTTCTGGTGCTTACTGACACCCATTGATCTCCACACTGCACCGCCGTATGCACGTGTTTGATGGCTTCCAGACAATAGTAAACCCTCACGGCTTGTTCGCAAATTGAATTGCTTGGCGGAAGGTGTATCGGGCCAAGAAACCGGTGGGTGTATCATATTTCCCTTGGCGGCCGACTGCACAAGCGAGCTTGGTTGTCCGCTCTCCCACGGCCGGGAGCCGGGGGGATGCGAGGTGCGGCCCGTTAGGACTTCGGGAGCGAAGGAGGGGTACGCTGCCGGGTCCGAGTCGGTTAGAGGTCTCGCTACTCCGGACCTACAGGGTACACCTGTGGCCGTAGAGACTCGACGGGCTTGCCCTTGGGCGCCGGCGCGAAGATCGACAAAAGGAGCGAATCACAAGTGCATTCCGAGGGCCAGCTGCCTGATGTCTGCCTATTACGCTTAAACTGCGATGTCAGAGAAAATAGTGTCTAAAAGAGGTAGACATGTGTAAATCTAGAGCATCAGAAGACTGGAAGATTATCAGAGCAAACACCCTTCATCGAATCTCTTCACCGAACCAAGCTTGATCAATAAAACAGAGGCACAAACATCAACGATGTCGTGCTCCTTTCTCTTCGTCACGGCCAAAGACGCCGATGTCGAGCTCGTCAACCGGCTCCTCCTGACCCTCCGAAGCTGGGAATTCGGCAACGACCCGACCTGGGACACCTTTACTCTCGTCACCTCGAGAACTGACACCCTGCCCCTGGACCTGGAACCGACGCAGCCGCCTCTGCAAGAGTTCCCCAAAACGAACGGGAGGGCGCGACCAATGAAGAGGTCGAGGCCATCATCCTCGCGACGGACCGCGAGAAGCAGCCCGCGCACGGCAACGTCAGCAGACCCAATAACCTGAGGCTCTTCCTCGTGCTCGACGACCGGGGTGCCGCCGACGGCACCGTCATCTTGTTCCAGCGGGCCATCGACTGGGCCGCCGAGCCGATCGCCTACCCGGAGCGGTTCAATAAATTCCGCTCGCTGTGGGCGGACGCGTGCCTGGATTGGTGCAACCTCGACATCGGCAACATTGGGTTCTCGGAGCTGTGCGACTGGGACGGCGCCGACAAGGGCAAGAGCGAGGCCGACGGGGTGTGGTGGACGTATCGCTCAGCAGAACAACAAGAGAGAGAAGGGGTGCGGTGGGTGAGGAGCCGGAGGGTCAGGGGCTGGCGTGGTGATCCGGGGATCGTGGGATTGGACCGTGGGGGGTGATGGTTGGCTGGTTCACTGCGGCGGGCTCTTACCTTCGAGTTTGCCTGGGGGGCTGTGTTGAAGGAGCCATCGGAGGGGAGACGTGATTGCTCCATGGTCAGAGCATCACCGCAGACAGGCCAAAACCAAGGACTTCCAGGCACCTGAATAATGAACGAACCAGAGGCCGGCATCGGCCGTGTAGACTTCTACCTGCCCGCCACCGGACGGGTGAGGCTTTGGCGAGTCCACGTATGTGAGCTCACGCGGCCCCGGTCCATCCCTGGACGCGTGTACCGCCGCTCCGTATCCGTCTCCATCGATCCCGCCTTGGTTGACGGCGAGGGGGGAAAAACACGGCTGCCTGAAAAAGCTGACGAGTTTCTAAAGTGTTGACTGGTGTGGCAATAACGAATGAGTCGTGGCTCGGAAACGTTCTCGTCGGATGTTCAAAAGCCAGCCAAGGTTACTAGTCATCGAGCCAACTCAGAATTCCTGTGAACCTCCCTCGCTCGCGTCCCTCTCGCAGAAGAAGATTCATCGGCCAAGGACGAAACCGCCCACAATCGCATCCCTCAAAGTCCTAACCGATCAAACCCTCCAAGAACAAGCCCACCATCACACTCATCGACCCAAAACCGCCTCGCCCCGTTTGCATCAGTCACGCAGCAACAAACAGGGGACCTGACAGCCTGGTTGGTCTTAACACGGGTCGACGACCGTGCTTCTGCCCGTCTCCCTGAGGCCCGGGCCCGGAAAGTGTCAGGACGTTGTTTCATAAACCTCTTACACTCGATCCCATCTCCCCCCCCCCCCCCCCCAGCACCAGCCATCCTGGGTCCACCGCAGGGTCAGAGGCGGTGGCTGACAGCCACTCACTTCGGAGGGACCAGGTAGATCGGACATTATCATCGTTGGTCTTCGAAAGGCGGCCACAATAAGCACGGGGCTCTTGGTCATAGAACACCGCTTGAAAGGACAGATATCGAGAAAGGAAAGTCAGCTGGAGGAGAGAGGCTAGTAGACGACGAATTGCCATTCCAGGCCTTACCAGAGCGGCAGGTCTCACAATCCCAAAGTCACAAGTACCTTCACCTCGGCCGTTGAGCGATAGAGACGCGCAAAAAGGCCCCTGCTCCGAAAGTCGTCTTCACCCCAAGGGAGGAGCAGCAAGGGGCACCAATCACAACAGCACACCTGCCCGTATCCGACCCTTGGAGATTTTAAGATTCAGTTGAGTCGTCCCAGTGTCGGTGCCAGCAGCAACGATAGCGACAAGCTGCTAAACGCCCGCGCGTCCCCTCTCTTACCCTGCCACCACAGCTATACTGAAGGTAGCTCGCGCAAGAAACAGCAAGATCCTTCGGCTGCCGGGTCAAAAGACCAGAGACCAGAGACCAGAGACCAGAAACCAGGGACAGACTGTGGACCCGCCCCAGGGAACTTGGAAGCCGCAGTACCGCCAGCAGCATCCGCAACGGAGCCATCTGACTGGCCCAGACGACGGGGACCTGCCACCCAAGCCCACTGTGCCCCAAAGTCCAAGCCTCAAATTCGGCACAAGAGGCTACGTACGACGGACTTGGCCCTGCGCCCATTCGTAAAGCACCTCTTCCCCGGGAGCTGACAGCAATCCCGACCATTCCACCTCAACCACACCCACGAACCCGAAGCTTCGATCCTCGCAACATCGCAATCGAACCATCAAAACAACCTGCGCATTGCATCGTTGTCAAGCACCAGTCCTTGCCCCGTCAACGCACACGAACCCCGATCTTCCTCTCTCTCTCCCACCCCGTTCCTCGGTATCGATCCCATCTCCGTGAGCTGGAATACGGAACATCTCCACAATAGCTCGGAAAGTCCACGTACGCCAACAACAAGAAAAGTTCCCTCCCACCCAAAACACCACACATACCGCCAAAATGACGCTCAAGGAGGAGTTCGCGACCAGGAACTTCAGTGCGTGCTGCCCGCCCCCCGCCCGTCCCTTATTGCTCGCGCCGGATTGTCTATCCGGCCTGCTTGCATGGGTCGAGGCTCACGTTGATGTTGTTACTAACCTGTCACCATAGGCATTTACGGCCAATGGTAAGAGCTCCCCGCCGTCCCTCGTCCGCCTCGCGCGATAACACCCTTTCGGTTGCCCCAATTCCACGGACGACCGCCATCGCGGCCGTTCCGCAATGGCTTCCCGCGACTGCGCTGAAGATATCCATCGTGCGGGACAATGCTGGAGAGACAACAGCTGACTCGAGGACCAATGCAGGCTGGGTGTACTGTCCATGATCTTGTGCTTAGCACTGGGCATCGCCAACATCTTCACCATCCATCTCCTCCTCATCATCTTCTGCGCGCTTGCCCTGTAAGTTTCTCCCCAACACTGCCTGTCATCCTCCGGAACTCGTCTAACCTGAGCTCCCTAGCGCCTCCGCGCTCGTCATCCTCTTCATTGAGATCCCCCTGTTGCTCCGAATCTGCCCTACCTCGTCCACCTTTGATGGCTTTATCCGCAAGATTTCTACCAACTACATGCGCGCCGGCGCCTACGCTGGCATGGCCGTCATCCAGTTCCTCAGCACCATCATCGTCACCAGCAGTTTGATCGCCGCCGGAGTTTTCCTCTCCCTGACGGCCATCTGCTACCTCCTCGCCGGCGTCAAGGGCCAGGCCTTCGTTGGCAGCAAGACCCTCGGCGGTCAGGGCGTTGCCCAGATGATTGTCTAGGAGAAAAATCAACAGCAAGAAAGTCGCGGCGGAGAGGCGCAGACCGAAGGAGCGCCCGCGCCCTCGTCCGCAGCCGCAACCGCAACCGCATCGACAGCTGAAGCAGCATAGGCAAACATCAATGATATCCAGTGCTTAGAAGCACACAGAAAACGGGGACAACGAAGGAGTGGATGAGTGTATACAATGGCGAGTATCGAAAGTCCATGGTGGCCATGGATGCGTGTGGGGCGCAATGGTGCAGAGAGGTCTCAAAGAGAGACGCGGACGCGGACTATGTTTTGATATGCAACGGCCGGCATATTCGGAAAGGAACTCGGCGTCCCGGAACAAGCTCAGGCTTTGTGTGTACGACTCCGGTTGCGCTTTGGTTCCTAGAAGCTCCGGAGGTTATGATAGCTTTCTTCATTGCACTGAATTTACTGTTTTGGAGCATCTCTGTTCGGCTGCATTTCTCAGGCACTCTTGTGGCGCCATTCGATTCGTAGTTCAACGTACTCCATGCTCGTGCGCGATGGACAGAAGGATCCGAATTGTTTAAGCTGGGTTTGCACGTGGTCTGGTGAGAGCTTGCCAGCTCATGAGAATTCTGTTGCAAGCTTCTTAGCAGTCCTCGGGTTGGTATAGCTCGATCCGACCCGTTCGCCTAGTGAACAGCGAAAATCAACAGACAGACCACTAGTCGCCAGGGAGGAGCCGGCAGAAAGCTCAGCCGCTGGTCTTGTAAGTTAGGTCCATGCCGAATCCGCGTAGCCAGCCATGATTAAGCCCCATGCAACGACACCATGCATATCGTGAAGCTCGTGACCAGCAAGAAAAATTAAGAGTGACCGCTGATGACCGCTCTTGTGCGTGTTTACCCCAACAAACAGGCTCTGGATGAGGGGGGAATAGCCGACTTTCCCTTTCCCCTCATGTTCTCTGTTGGAACACTTGTCGACCAAGCAAGTGCCCGAATCTTGGGTTACTAGGTGTGCTGTCAAGTCCCGGATATTGACGTATGCCTCGTCATCTTCCGCGGGGGAGGGTCTGGCATGCTAGATACTGCTCAACTCGCCAAAGTGGATGCCCAGGACTGTCAATCTTGGGGGCGAAGACTCGTCTTGGTATGGGAACCAAGTGCGGCATCATTGAAATCCTGAAGAAAGCATAACAAAAAGCCATGACAAACGAGAATTGGCGATATGCTGCCGTCTGTGACCGTCTTTGGCTTGCGTCAAAGGATCGACCTTCTGTATTCGAGATGTCGATTTGGTCCCGCGCTCCATGGCGTCATCTAGCAGCACCGCTGTGGGAAAGACGGAGGAGTGGCTGGAAAGCTCCAGCCCGCTCTAGCGACGAGGGCGGCGGCGGCACTGTGAATGAACTTGGAGAAAGCAGAACGGAGCTTCTGGTCCTGATCCACCGGCTTTTCAGGTCATGACGGTGACGATATTCCCCGTTTTCCAACCCCCACAGGGGTCCTGCACGATGGAGAAAAAGGAGGCCGTACGTATGAAGGCCAAGTCCACTAATCCTCGGGGACGAGAGAGGGCAGAGTTGCTGGAAAATTCGACTGGCTCGAGCTTGTTTGGATCGGATCGGGTTCTTAGTTTCGCATCCCTTCAGGTTGCCTGAACATCTGTCATCATCTGAAAGGCAAGACGGGGCCTTTCCAGGGACGTTCGTGGATCGATCGTCAAAGACTGGGGCTTCTTGTGGCTCTCCCGTCTCCAGTTGAAGGCTTGTGGTGACGGAGCATTGTGGCATTGAGTGACAACGGAACTAGACGCTGGTTCCAGTTGTCTGTAACGGAGAGACCTCCACTCGAATTGCTCTCATTTTGAGCCGTCCGTAACTCTGACGGAGGTTGGGCGGCCTGACCATCGTGTCCAAAAGTAACCAGTCATCTGGTGCGTGTGTGTGCGCGTGCGAACGGCGGGAGGGAGCCAAGGCCCGTGACAGCGGCCGTCAGAAACTGTCGGCAGTGGGACCCGACAACGATGTTGAAGACACTGCACGGACGGTCTGATGTATTGTTTTTCTAGATGAAAAGCATTCCTCAACTAGAGAATCAAATGGTGGGAAATGCCGCAGCAAAATGCCTCTCCAATGCCCGCATGCGCTCCGGCGCCCGTTGACGTGCAATTGGGTTACCAGAGATAGAAGGCCGAGAGGCGGTGCCAGTTGAATCCTGGTGATAGTCTAGGAGAAACGCCCGCAGTTGCAGTGCGTGAAGCCGGAAAATTTAATTAACTGGATCACTTCTCTGGTTGTTGCGGTGAAGGACGAGTACGTATCCATGAGGGTACTCGTGTTTGGTTATGCATATTCTCAACTGGTGTAGAAACCACGGACTGAACGAAAGGGTTGCCAATCACGATGTTCCAACGTTCCAATGGTAGGTTGCGGTTGCAGGTTGGCAGGGTTGTCTAAAACAGCTCCCTCTTGTGTGCATATGTTTGTGTGGGAGCTGTTGTATCGAGATCCAAACGGACGAGACGCCGTCTCCAGGCCAGCTGCAAGCCGGTGCCCTTTCCATGCAGAGCTTGCAGCATCTCGTGGTCTGGATGGTGGGGCTTGGTCTTGGGAGACGAAACTGAACGACGACTGTACACTCGGCGGCGGGAACGTGGAAGAGTCGAGGACTCTGTGTGCATGTGTGTGTCTCTCTCTCAGCGCAAGTTGTGCCGCACTGTAGACTTGGGCTCCTGGTGGAGGACGACGACACCAAAAAGCGGGAGTGATGGATGTACCTGGCTGGGCCACGTCTTCCCGGTTCACGCATCCGGTTCCTGGCAAAGGTACTTGTGGGACTCGAGGCGGTACCTGCTCTCGGGACCGCCCATGCCCTGGGCCTGGCCCCCCGCCTGAGGCTGGACGTCTGGGGGTCGGTGGTCGTGGTCAGCGGGTGACTTTTCGAACTTTTCTCAGTGGACAGTTTCGATTGGGGCGCGGGCGGGCTCGACCTTGGACCAGACGACGCCCTGTGGAGCCCCGTCCACTGTGGCCCTTGTCCACTGTGGATGGACCGGCTGCCCTTTGCCTGCAGGCCGCCGGACCTGGTTGAAGAAGTCGGCCGTGTCTTTGTATGTCCTCTGGATGGCGAGGAGGACGAACGATGTTGGGAAGGGGGAGCAGCAGCAGCAGCAGCAGCGAGGTCCAAAACCCAGACCGAGTTACAGACTAAGAGAAATGGCCGGATGTGCCTGGGCTGGTGCGCCAAGTCGGGGCCGGTTGGGAGCGAAGGAACCCCCAGCGTCCCAGCTGGACTATTCTTGACGCAGGTGACCCGGGACGGGATGGGTTTCGCGTTTCCGATTCTAGATTTCGACGCTGACGCGAGCACGCAAATGGGACGCAGAGCACGTTTGATCTGGTCGAGCCGCTGACAGCTGGTGGCCGAGGAACCCACAGAGGCCATGCGTTGTGTTTTCTTTCCCTCGTTCCCCGTGTTTTGCTGCTATTTCCAGAGACTGCCTCGGGATCCCTGAGAACGGACGGTCAAATGGCCGATGGGGTTTGGATTGCTGGAGCTGGTTCATTTAGCGTTGCGAAATCTGTGCTTGGTGCTGTTGGGGCTGTTGTCGTCACCCGAGATGAGCCTCTTCGCAGACAGACTCGCAGGATAAGGTACTTCGATCGATCGATGGGAGGTGGGATGATCGAAAGTTCCTTGGTCAACTTTGTCGGGGAGCAACGAGGGAACTCTTCACAAAGCTGATGGCGGAAACGGTTAGGTGCCTGCCCATTGACGACAAAACTCGAGTCAACACAATGGACAACTCACCTTCTCGCATCAGCTAGCTTCTGCTGCTCGAAGCAATGCTGCTTTGTCTGGTGACGCTGGTCCATACAAATTAGCAACTTTGCTGGCTGTTCGTACCATTGAAAGGGCGGGCGTCCCCTGACGTTGGACAACGAGGTACACAGAAATGTACACCAGCGCGATGCAAGACGGGAAAAGTACATCCTGTTGCTCCTTCTTCGAGCAGATTCAGCGCCTGCTGTAGGGAGTGTATGATGCACTAGTGGGCAAATGGCGGGGTACTGTGGAGTCCCAAAACACACCATTGCTAGGCCGTGTCAACCAAAAAGGAACTTACTGTATGACACCAACCAAGAGCACACATGCTCTCTTTCTCTCACACTCCCGCAGCAACACGCATTACATCGCCGGCGCAATTGTCTGGACGAGCCCAAACCTACCGCTGGCAATGAGGTACTGGCGGTACTTGCCTCTGATTTCCGCTGTACCGGCATCGAGCATCCCTGCTTCTGTCCCCGGGAATATGTCGCTCGTGACTGGCTCAATGGCGGCAGCACCGTCACCGAGCCAGCTGGTTTCGTCAAGCCAGAATATAAAAGCTCGAGGTCATGGTGACTTTTCCTGCTCGCCGACCCCCCATAAGTTGCTCGTCATATCTGTTCAATGCGTTTACTCAGCCTACAAGCTATCCCTTTCACCATCATACATTTACTCGTCACCTCCACTGTGTTGCAATAACACCAACTCAACACAACGACAATCGTCAACAGCTTAATATCCTTATCCCTTATCTCTCTCTAACATAACCGAAGCTGTAAGTGGCTCCTCTCAGTGCGTCGTTATTATCCTGTTCTTTCCTGCCCCCCGCCTGGTATCCCTACCACCTCCCAGTGGTCGGTCGTCCAATACTCTACCGCACAATGTCAGCACACCACCACCACCACCACCATCACAACCATCTGTCTGCTGCAGTTCTCGGGGAAGAACAAGGCAGGGCCACCTTGACTTTTCTGCCAGGGCGGGCTCAATCATCACCATGTTTGGCGTTCGCGCACCTTTAGCCCAGAGTTGGGGGGCCCACCCTTTGCGGTGCGAAGCGGTGCGGTACAAGCCTCTTTGCTGTTCCTCATGATAAGACACCGCGTCTTATCACTGGGAAAGCACCGTCTTACCTTATCAACACCCAACAAGACTCCATTGAGCAACCCAACTCAAAATCGCTGTTCCCAGCGATCCTGCGTTTCTGGTCGCTCATCCGGTTCTTGTCATTCAGCCCCTGCCTGTCTAGCTTGTCCGATTTGCCCTTATCCTTTATCTTACTCAAGTCTGTTATCTTGCATTCAGCTGCGACCCTATCCACCCAAACAGGGTGGGCGCAAAGGCACGGAAGACGCGAGCCAGGGGGGCATGATCTGCTCTTTGCTTTGATACACCGCCAGAAACCACGAACTAACCGCAGGTTTCTGCTTTCTCCAGGTTCCCATCACTTCTAGAACAAACTCTTCCTATCCGACCACCACCAACACCCTTCAATTTCTCGATTATCCTCAATCGACCGTGAACATTTACTTGACTCTTCGCGTCATCGAGAAAATCACACACAGGCAAGATGTCTACCGCATCAGTACAACCTCCCGTTATCCCTCCCCGACCTTCTAGGAGTCAGGACAGGGAGGACAACACAAATACTTCGTCTCTCCCCAAGATCCCTCCTCGTCCCATCAAGCGTTTCGACCGCTCCGTCTCCCCGAATCCCGATCGCTTTGCGCCCTCGCCCCTGAACGAGAGTCCGTTCTCCAGGAGTCCCAAGGCCACCCGCTCGTCCCCGAGCAATGGCTTCCTGTCCTCACAAGATCCCATCCACCACCGCCCTGGCAGTGTTTCAATGCCTTCGGTCGGTGAGGAGGGCAACGAATACGATGTTGTCAGCGAGGGTTTGAACAAGCCGCCTGCCTCGCCTGAGCATACCCGCTTCGCTGCCGAGGATCTCAAGCTCCATGCTCCCAAGCCCACTGTTCCGGCACAGAGTGCGAAGCAGAGGGTTATGGCCGTGACCCGCACCGACTCCGACAAGGCTGCCTCTTACGGCATTGGCAAACCTAGTAGCGAAGAAGCCACCAGACCTAGCAGTCTTAGGAGGAAGGCCAGCTCTAGTGGTATGTCGCAGAAGTCAGAGAGTGCCTTTGGCGACGAGGAGCATGGCATTCCTGAAATCGGCCAGCGTGTGCCTATGAACCCCAACCTTGGCGATGTCCAGGCCCCGTCCCCTGCGCCGGGCTCCGGCACCACCGAGGGGTTCCGCTCGGCGACTCCTCGTCACCATTCTCGCAAGCATAGTTCGCGCGGTTTCAACGAGCTTCCTCCTGGTAGCTATGGCCTTCACGGCCATACTTCGGCGCCTCCCAAGGACAAGTTCGAGAAGGCTTGGTACGAGAAGCATCCTGATTTCCTGAAGAAGGACACCAAGCCTTCTCTGCACGATCGCCAAAATGACTATGCCTTGAGCAGTACAGATCTGAACAAGATCGTGAAGGAGACTCACAGCCGAGGCTCCGGAATGGGTGCGTCGACCCCAGCGAACCTTGAGACAAGAGATTACGGCTAACAAACACAGGCACTTCCGCTGCGTATGTCGGTACTCCCAGCGAGGAGGTTGGATACCAGGCGTCTGAGGAGTATACTTCTCGTATTTCTTCTCCCGAGCTTCAGCGCATCAAGTCTCCCCTTAGCCCTCTGAGAGACTCTCATCCCGAGGTTTCAGTCTCGTCGCCCGAAAACGCCGCCACCCCAGGAAGCGACGAGGGCACAATTCATGTCGATGAATCTCACAACCGCCGCAGGAGCTTCATTTCTTATGACTCTGGCCACGAGAACAAGTACAACGCACCTATCCTAGCTGAGGATGAGCTTGAAAAAGACGTGCACCCTTATGACCTTCAGCCGGCCGTCGAGCCCCCACCAGAACGCTCCGGCAGTGCCTTCGAGATCGAGAAGGCACCGAGTAGGCCTTCAAGCCGACCCACCAGTCTCTACAACAATCAGTCCCAGACGGAGCTGACATCGACTCCTCTGGAAGACGTCGAAGAGTACGAGCCGCTGTTCGATGAGGATGGCACGGAGGTCAAGAAGTCCGAGTCCGAGGCAAACACGTGGAAGCCTCGCCACAAGTTCCCGAGTAAGGACGTTTGGGAAGACGCCCCCGACAGCGTGAACTACACCGCTGAAGTATCGACCCCTGAGCCGACGGACAACGAACGTCCTTCCTCAAGACGCCGTTCCGAACTCCCCACTGAGAACCCTGCCCTTGAATTTGCTCGCAAGCAAGAAGAGCTTGCAGAGCAGGAAGCCCGCGGCATCCATTCCAAGGAGAAGAAGCTGGTACCCATTGCCTTGCAACAAGCCAAGGAGGAAGCTCGCCCGGCGCCGAACCGCTTCCCAAGTCGCGACGTCTGGGAGGACACCCCGGAAAGTTTGATGCACGAGGCTGTTGTCGATACTCCTGAGCCAACCGAGTCCCCGGTTGAGAAGCCCTACGTACCAGCTCGCCCCCAAAAGAAGGGTTCTGAGTCTAGTGCCACTGCGGAACCACCTTCAATTCCCGAGCGTCCAAGGCCTAAACACACCCTAAGCAGCGACGACAAGTCGAAACCCGCGGTTTCGGAGAAGCCTAAGCCTCAAATCCCGGCCCGCCCTACCAAGACTCTCCCGTCCGGTACCGATTCTAAAGAGCAAGATTCTGCCCCGAAGCAGAAGCCTGCCGTTCCTGCCAGGCCTGCTGGAGGCAAGATTGCGGCCCTTCAGGCTGGTTTCTTGTCCGATCTTAACAAGCGCCTGCAAATTGGCCCTCAAGCCCCCAAGAAGGATGAGCCACCTGCGGCAGATGTTGAAGAGAAGGAAAAGGCGCCGCTCTCTGATGCTAGGAAAGGACGTGCTCGCGGCCCCCAACGCAGGGCTCCTGCAGCAAAGAGCCCCGCCCCTGCCGCCGAGACCAAATCGGGACCTACTTTGTCCTTCTCTCCACTGAGAACTTGCTGGAGTATTGGTGACAGTGGAGTCCTCGAAGTTGAAGAAGCATCAAAATCGGAGCCTACCAAGGAGTCAGCCACCGAGGTCGATAGCTCCCCGGTGAAAACCAAGGAAGTCGAGTCAGTCGCAGAATCAGTCGAGCCTGAGACCAAGGCGGACGTGGTTGCGGAAGACCCGGTCGCTAAGGAGTTGTCTGAAGAGAAGTCTGAAGAAGATAAGGTCGAAGTTGCCGCATCCGTTAAAACCAAGGTCGAGGCACCGAAGGAGGAGGTCAAGACCCTTGCTGCCAACACTGCTGGTGAGCCTGTGATTGAGGCAACCCTGTCGGAAAAGAAGGACGATATCGAGCCCGTCGAGGTGAAGCAGACGGGAGGTGAGGCAGCATAATTGCCGTGGGTTGCCCGGCACGAGAGTGAGTGATTATTGAGTGGCATGAAGCGGAGAAAAGCACTAGACAGGCATCCTGTTTGCGTAAATGGTTTTCGCTTCTTCGGTTGATGGTTTTCGGGTCATCAAGTATATCTCTACGTTCCCTAACTTTGCCGTATGGCTCTGCAGCGTTTCTTGTTTAATAGGTAGCAATCTGATACTGCGTTGTTGTCTCTTTCCTATGGAAGGACAGCGTACCGCCCGCCCTACGCGTCGGCTTGTGGATGATATCATACATAGCCTGGTGCGTGATGTCGTCGACTTTGTTAAGGTAATTTTTGGAATGCTAACCCAAGCTCGATCTCACGATGGTAACCTTGATTACGGTAAGGAGTGTGTTAGCGTCTCATGCCCTTGCAGGCAGAGCAGCTTACTGTCTACGAGGTAAGTGGAAGTTGCCCTTTCCGGCTGGAAGTGATGTGATATTGCGGATTGCCAGGGCGACATAGATAGCACGAAGTACTCCGCGCTTTATATAAGGTATCTCGATGTGTTTGAACAGTGATGTACATAGAACGGTAGATAGGTACTCACAGACTAGGCAGCAAGGACTAGATGATTATCATCACGATCCTGGAAAGAAGAAAGAAACAGTTTAAAAAAAAATGCCCAATTGAAATGGTGAGTCCCTCAAGATCCAGCGCACATCATGGACAAATAAATAGTAAGAAAACCACAACCTCCGTCGTTCTTGTTGCCAGCAGCGTTGTGCAAAACCAGGTCCTAGCCAGTTAAATCTATACATGTTCAAACCTCAGAAACAAGCGCTCAGCTTTCGGTCTCGCCGTGTAAGTGTCGTCCTGGTCAATGTCCGTGTCGTCCACGATGTGGGTCGTGAAGTTTGTCCAAATCGCCGCAGCAATGAGCTTCATTTCTGCGTCGAATCATCAGCAACTCTCTTCTCATGGTCTTTCTTTCGCAGATTAGACCCGTAGCTTACCGTTCATGGCAAAGTTGGACCCGACGCACATCCTGCCGCCGCTGCCAAACGCCCAGAAATAGCGCATCATCTCCCTGCGCCGCTCCTCACCAATCCCTGATTCATCCAGCCAGCGCGTGGGGTCCCAGGCCTCCGGGTCAGGGAAAACTTCAACGTTACGATGGAGCGTGTAGCCCAGCGCCGCGACGCGGACCCCACCCGGGACGTGGAACCCTCCAAGACGGCAGGGTGGGTGGTGCGGAGTTCGTCGCGGCTCCGGGCCGGGAATCGGGGCGTGGAGGCGGAGGGTCTCCATTATGACGGCATGGAGGAGGGGCAGGGCGTCGACTTGTTTCGGGTCCGGGAAGGGTGATGGAAAGGAGGAGTCTGGGGCAATCACGAGGGACGGGGAGAGGGTGAGGAGTTCATGGTGGAGGGATAGTTGGACGCCGGGTGATTTGGAGAGGTGCCAGGCGAGGTATGTTAGGGCGATGCCGGCGGTTTCTTGACCTGCAAGGACTTGATCCATCACTTCGGAGGCCATGGAGAGGTCTTTTTGGAGAATTGTTGTCTGGTAGAGGAGGGAGGCTGCGCCGTTTGCGAGGCGTTCCTTTTCAATGCCGGCTTCTAGGGCGCGGAACACAACGGGTTCGTTCACGGGGTCTTCTCCTTCTTGTTTCCCAGCAACACCTGCGGAAGACGAAACTTTGTTACTTCTCCCGCGGATGGAATCGTCCGCCGCTTCGCACAGCTTCCTGTTCCACGCGGCGATTTCGGCGTTGGCATCGTCGACCCATGCCGGGTACGGTTTCCACCTTCCCCCAGTCACCTTAGCGCAGAGTGCCGTTAGCCGTGGCAGCTCCTGCGGCCAGAAGCCGTGGTTCGCCCTGGCAAGGTAGAGCTGGAGCCAGTGATCTCTGTAGGCCTTGTCACGGATGAAATCTGTGGCGTTGCGGAGGCCGAAGACGTAGGTCGTGATGAAGTCCATTGTGGTGGCGAGGAACATGGAGAAGACGTCGATGCCGGCGCCGCTCAGGGGTTCACTAAACGCCGACGCCGAGAGAACGGGCAGAAGGCGCTCGAAGAGAATGGTGCGGGATTGGGCATTGGCCGCCTCGGAGGCATGGATGAAGGATTTGGAGTAGGCGTTTGAGATCATGCGTTTGCGGAGGGAGTGAGGTTTTGAGGAGAGTGTTGAGAACATGCACGGAACGCTCCGGTGGTCGTCAGTCAAGGGATCTTTGCAGCCGCTATGATGGTTTTCGGAGTGTGTACTCACCCATAGTTGTCAAAGATGGAGTACCACTCATCCTTTTCGAACCCCCCTTGGTACACTGTCTTGAGGGCATCATAGCCGTCGACGCTCAGCTCATTTGGGGCTATCCTCACAACCGGGCCGTGTCTGATGTGCGCTTGATGAAGGGTCCGGTTCTGACAGTTGGTCTTCCTCATGTAGAGGATCCAGAGGGGAGAGATATGACATGACCAGTGCGGAACAGGGATATTAGACAACGGGGAGAGGAAGAGAGGGTGGACGATGAAGTGGTAGAATAGCCAGGCGGCGACGCTCGCGATTACGATGGGGATGAGATTAGATCCCATCTTGTCGCATGAAAGTGAGTCTCTCGAATGTAGTCTAGACTGTGACTCAGCAGTTCGACTCAGCTTTCACACTCAACACAGTCACTGCGGTCATTGGCTTGAAGGAATGAGTGACTCAAAGACGGTGCACGCTTAGACCAGCTAAGCGTGGGAATTGTACTTTGATGAATTGTACGTCGAGCACGCCCTTATTATCACTAAGATGTCTTGTAGTCTGTGAGGAGTATGCGGGGTTATCATCAAGACCTTATCGCTCTTATCGCTGATGCCGCGCCGTCGCCAGGGTCATCTCAGAGTTGCTTTGAGTTGTCGACGGCTTGCACTAACAGCGGGGTCACCGATAGTGTTGCAGAAACACGGACCGGGGTCGTGGGCATGCATGCTGTAGGCTAGCTGCATACCGAGCGAAATCTCGGTATGCATTTATCTGAGTACCTATTGTGTCATAGGCGGCCACCAATCCCTGTCCATCTCGACTCTAGGCTGCCAGCCGCCTTACAGTCACTATGACTTTTTTGAATCATCTTTCAACTGCATTTCCGTCAACTCTTTAAGGAATTGCTTTTCGCCACGCTGGGAGTTCGATCGTGGGGTTCTGGGGCTTTATCTGCACTTTGAAACACAATCTATAACGAGGTGTCTCATTGGAGTTGCTTCACAGACTTTTCCCACAATAACTAGAAGACTTTTCAAGACCCTTTCTCACTCTATCCCAACCATCATCACATACGCCAACCGTCAGTATCCCAACTTCCTCCATCATACCCTCCCTACAGCCCATCACCCAGGGTTGCATCTCATCTTCTCATTTATCACTCTTCATGTCACAAAAACCAACCACCAGACAAAATAGACAGAGTTTTCAGACAAACTCTTGAACCAAAAGAACCAGAGCACACAATGTTTGACCAGCTTCCAGACGACATTGTCTTGGAGATCGTCTGCCACCTGAGAACCGCCCGCGATATAGCCCACCTCGCGTCGTCGTGTAAGCACCTCCACTCTCTCCTTAGCGAGGATGGTTGGCGCACCTTCGTCCGAACCTGCTTCCCCCTCCTATCCCTCCCGCTGGGCAAGGCCCCGAAATGGGATATCTTGGCAAACACCCTCACCCACCAGGCGCGGGCCTGGGACACAAAGGCTTTCCAGCCCGTCGCCTACACGGATGACCACCGCCGGGACGGCAACTACTTCACCGGCTACACCAACGCCGGTCGTCCCTTTCATCCTGTTATCGACGCCCGTCTGACCTTCGACAACAGCTGGGAGGTCGTGTCATGGGGCGCAGGCGAGGATGTCGTCGGCCGCTTCAGGCCGCTCAACAGCGGCGGGCGTGGGGAGTCCGACGCCTGGTTCCGCATGGTGGGCAAGAATAAGGGCTACGAGGCGGGCGTGGGCGACGTTACGGCCATCCGCCTCGTCGAGCCCGAGGGGAAGCTAGGTCTTCTCGTCGGCAGAGCCAACGGCGATCTGCAGCTTGTGTCGGCGGCCCCGGGCAGCGCCGGCAGGACCCTTGCGAACTACAGCATCCCCGCGCCCACGGGAGGTCTCGAGGCGACGACGTGGACGTCCATCGGCTCCATAGACACCCTGCCCAACCAGTCGTCAATAATTGCTGGTAACCGCGCCACCGTCAGCTTGTTCCCCTTGGACACTGCCGAAGGAACGGGCGAGACCGCCCTCCCACTGGACTCGCAGACCTTTGAGGTTCCTGGTCAGGGGGGCAAGACGCAGTTCGTCCACTCGGCCAAGGCGCTCAACAATGACACCATCGTCTGCGCGCTTTCCGGCGACGCCAACCCGATCCGCTATCTTACCATCACTCCGTCGGGCTTCACCCCTTCCCTTGCATCAAAGAACCCGTCCCTCCTAGCCTCCCGCGGCATCGACCTGGACAAGAAACAGACCGTCCGCGCGATCCACCCCATCAACCCAGGCCCGGCGGGCCACTCTAACCTCCTTCTCAGCGCCTGGGACGACGGCACTATCCGTCTCCTAGACGTCCGCACGCCATCTCCTTACGACGTGCTCTACCGTGACATGTATCAGCCCTTTGAGACGCACTCGTCCCTGCTGGCCTACGGCTCGGACCGCTTCGTTGCGGGCAGCAACGAGCTCGAGGCCCTCAAGATTTTCGACTTCCGTTGGAGCAAGACGTACCATCACTCCGCGGCGCTGCCGTGCTGGTCCGGCACCCCGTTCCCGGACCCCCTGCGAGGGACTAGCAGTCGCCCGCTGAGCATGCGAGGCGTGGGGTGCGACTACGCGAGGGGTCGGGACTGTGTGTGGCACGAGTACTCGCGTAGGGACTACTACCGACCCAACTACCGGTTCCACGTGATGCCGTTCCGGGACGCGGCGCGGTCGTCGACGAGCCGCATCTTCTCGTTAGCCAAGGCGTCGGACGTGTCAGAGTCTTTCTACGTCGGGCTCGCGGGCGCCGTGGCGGAGTTCTCTACAGCGCCCGGGTTTACTGAGCAACAGGAAGGGCAGCAGGAGGACGCTGTGGCCCCCGGGGTGGTTGCTGCGGCGGAGAAGAGGGGTTGGAGGGCAAGGGCCTCGCAGTTCAGCTTCGCGGAGACCGGGGACGGGCTGCTAGACCCCGGTGTGTCGATGAGCACGTTTATGCCGAGGCTGGTCCAGCGGTTCGGTGACGAGGTGGGCGCGCCGCAGTATCAGAAATGGTGGGCCAAGACCCCGCCCAAGACAGCGGCGTGGCATCGATGGGATAGGAGCTTTTGGCGGCCGACGCACTTTACGTTCTGAGGTGGGATTTGCGTGCCGGACGACATGTCCTGGAACGGTTGGCTGAGGACTATCGTCATCCATCGAGTAGGGGGCGTCATTTGTTCTGCAGGGGCAGGAAGGAAAAGGCCGATACGAAAACTGGCCATAGTTACGGGATGGATATCGGAAAACTTATGAGAGACTTGTAAGCATGGAGCAAGCGACGTTTTTGCACATTGAAAAGAGTTGATAGATGAGGTATATACAAGAGCAATAGGGATCAGTTCAAGATTGGCTATTCCCAACGCCCGAGCCGGGTAAACACAGTAGTCGTACATATCACCAGCGGCTATTCCGCTCACCACCTCGGCCCGCGTCACCCCTCCGCTCCCTCTCGATCATCGCATCGAATTCCGCCTGGGCCTTGTCCTTCTCCGCGTTCTTCTCCTTGTCGACCGCATCATAGGTGTAGTATGCATCAGACTCACTCTGCTGGGCCTGGGCACCACCAGATGCCCGCGGCGGCTGTCTGGAGGCTTGGCGTAAGCGATCCCATGCTGAGCCACTGCCCGAGGACGGGGTAGATGATTGGGATTTGGCGGCTGGTGCAAGAGGCGATGCGTCGTCGATGTCCAGGTCGTCGGATAAGCTGCCGTTGCTGCTGCTGCTGCTGCTTTGCTGTGAGGACGAGCCCTTCTGACCCCAACCCCAGCCAGAACGTCCTTCTGAAGATGGTGGATCTCTTGAATAGCTTATGGGAGGAGCGCGATTCGGCTCCGTAGGTAGTGTGTAGCCACTGGTGGAGCTCGAGGCACTGAGAGCCTCGTAGTCCTGGTTTGGCGCGGACGCATCATCACCACCGCCATTGCTTTTCCTCTCAATCAGTTCATCAAGCTGGTCCAAGATCCTTCGGTACTCCGCAATCTTGCTTTGCACAAACGAGATGGTCTCCCGGAGGCCCTGGACCTCCTTCTCCGCGGTTTCGGGCCCAGCTTTCTGGGCCACTTCCTCTTCCGTGGGGAACTTGGCCAGCTCTTTCTCGAGCGCGCTTATAGCTGAAGCTGTCCGTTGTCGCTGCCGAGCGAGGACGGCCGGCGGCATACTTCTGGCGCTTATCTGCATCAGCCTCTCGGGCTTTATGTCCTTCCGGAACTGATTGAGACGCTCATCGCGCTGAGCGGTCGCAACGGCCACCGAGGTCGCATACGAGCCGATGAAAGGAGCAACTCCTAGACTGGAGGCGGCGAAGTAGGCAACGAACCTCGTGTTGTGCCACATCCGGTTTGCGAGACGACCTTGCAGATATGGCGCCTTTGCGGTGGGGAACACATCGGGGCTAAACTTGACGAACTTGGGTTGAAACAATGGGAAACGGTAGGTGCCGCGTCCACTCCACGTCAGAGCAGCGGCCAACATAACGCTCACGGGGATTGCCCAGGCAACGGTCTGGGCCTCCTTGTAGGTGATGTGGCAAAGGACGTTAACTTCTTCCTGGGTGGGTTGGCGGCCCATGCTCATGGCAGAGGCAGTGAGCATCCTCCTCATGTGTTCGACATAGCGCTCAGGGCTGCGAAATGTGAGGCGCTGCAGAAGGGTGAGATCCGGGGACGGGATATGGTAGTCCGGAGGGCCGATTGCTTCTTGGTTGAAGCCATTGTCGTCGTTTGAGGCGGGGAAGGCCATCTCGTCGACTTTAATGCCAGGTCTCAATTGACCTGGCAGTTGCGGAGTGTATCTTTCGGTGGCTCCAAATCAGTCAAATACGTGGATTGCGGTGGTTGAGCCAAGTCGGCGCTGGCTTGGATTGATCACTTCAACTCAAGGTTGTCCGTCTGTTGGTGTTCTCAAGAGTCCTGACGTAGTCGTGGACTAAGCTCTCAGGTTAGTGGAAGCTGTGGTGGGTCCACTGGATCGGCAAAGTGGAGCATGGACACCGAACATGCCGGGTCTTCGGCATAGAGTTTCTCCATGTCAAGATCGGGACCGATCCCGAGGCACAACCAAAATTGCTGCCTCCATGTCGTCTGGAAGTCTTGCTAGAGTCACGTTCGTGGAGAGTTTAATAGCGGAAGGTGTTAGTGCTTTTGAGTTCTAGTTGCTGTTTTATGCCCACAAAAGTTTGTGTTATTCCAGTGCTCCATTGGAGTCGTTTTCAAGCATATACTTGCACCTCAACCTGAGATGAGGTATCAGAAATCACGACAATATCGTTATCGCTTCTCCTCTGGGAGATACGTTGTACTCCACTGACGCAAGACATTCTGCAGTGAGCCAGACACGCTGGCCCAAGTCACGACATCGAGGTGGACTTGTTGCAGGGGCGATCAGCTTGTACCTCTCAAGTGCCCCACATAACGCCGGGAACGTGCAGTGACGCGAATTAAACAAACGTGGAGCAAGCGCGTCCCGAGCGCGTCGAGGGACCACCACTTTAGTGTTATCACTTAGTCGAGGGGCCCCCAACTTCCTCCATGACCCTTGCACCAACTCGATTGAATCTTCATAGTAGCCCATGATAGTTTCTATGGTCACTGAAGAGCCGATCTTGCCGATATGCCTCTCAAGAAGTCATACTCAGAGCATGTTGGTTTGCCTGCAAAGGTCCGCCACAGAACAGACCCCTCCACGAGATGCTCGCTGACTTTGTCCCAGAACCGCTCGTGGCAACGCTCCAAAAGCAACCCAGTCAACGCCCAAACATCACGACCTCTCGCCCCCGTATCCGACAAAACAAAGAGCAAGTTGAACCAATTCCAGTTCCAGTCCCCAGCCAAGGCCGAGGCTTCGGACCAGGAAAATGGCAGCGGAAACGAAGATGGCATTCGACAGACTCGAGATGACATCGCCATCACCCCGACAACGAAGTTGAGCTGGCGCGACTTAATGGAGTCGAACGCTCCCAAAGAAGACGACACACAAGTTTCACCTAGCGAGCGTATTCTATGGAACAACGAACGAGACAAGAACGACCGGACGTACGCCGCAGCCCTCTCGCCGATGATGCCCCGGAAGGGCCGTAAAAGAGCTAGGAGTTCGTCGCCGATATCTTCTCCAGCACCACACGAGCAACCTGCCACGCCGGCGGTCAATGTGAAAAAGCTCAGCGAGGCGCTCAAGTCACCACACGCAGACCCAACCTTGGAGCTCTGGGACCGCTTCTCGTTCACCAGCAATGGCAATGTAACACCTCTGGGCATCTCAAACCCGACTCTCGCCAACTTGATGTTTTCCTCGTCTCCGCGAAACCCCAAGAACGCACCCCCCTCTGCTGGCGACAGCAGTTTGCGAAGAGCCATCAGCTGCGGTCTCAACTGGCCAAAGAGAAGACGAGTCGACCGATCGGATACACCCTCCTTGACAAGCACGTTGACCTGGGAGACGACCGACAGTTCAAAACATTCGCTCGTAACGGCGCTCCTAGATACAGTCACTGGTAGCATGCACGAAAACAGTCCGCCACATGAGTCGGAGCCGTTTGTTGACCATGAGGTCGAATCGCCATCTCTCAAAAAGAGAAAGACAGCCACTATGAGGCCACCAGCCCTCTCCCCATCACGAAGGCCGCTTGGGGCCACAAAGCTACCTCCAGGCAACACCACCAATTTTATTGTTGCACAAGATCTGGGACTGGATGTGAAAGGGAATGCGGCCCCGGCAGAGTCCGATTACGGTGATGCCGACTTTGACGAGTTCGACGAGTTCGATGATGACACGTTTCTTGAACTTGAGGCCAGCATCAGCCTTTCAAATTCGAACCGAGATGCAAGACAGAGCACTCCTACTCCTGCACCTCTCAAATCTGTACAGCCCGTTCAGCAAAATGATGCCAACTTAGACGATGAGTTTGGCGACTTGGACGACGACATCTTCGAAGTTGCAGAAACTATTTTGGAGATTGCAGAAACAAAGGCCGCATCCCAAACGCCAACGAGCATAGAGCCGCCTGCTGTATTAAGCGTTAGCGCACCTCCGCAAGACGACCTGGAGGATGTCTTTGGGGACGACTTTGGCGGAGACTTCGACTTTGACGCGGCAGAGCTTGCCGCGACACAATCGGCCCAGCAACCCGACGCGTCGTCCACAACAGCTGTACGTTCCAACAAACGGCTGCCACGGTAGCAGATGCTAAGATTAAGGTAGACCAGCCAAAAACCCAAAGCCATTCAACGATATCTGGTGACCAATGTCCTAGACAACGATTACACGGACGAGCGCGGGCTGTCCCGGGTCGAGAAGGTAAATAAATTTGCCTGGTGAAGTGAATCAATGCTGACACACTACCAGATCTTGATCGTCCAAGTCGACAACACCAAGTCCATGAGGACAATTCATCTCCGAGGCGACTGGTACGAAACACCTGCGCACGCCAAGGCATATGTACATGTTATTGGAGCCTTTTCACCAAGCGGCCAATGCATTGTTGACGATTCACACAACATCCTAATACTACACCCCGATCAGTTGATATCAGCCACGGTCGTAGCTGATTCATTCAGCTGCATGCGGCGAGCAGTCTTACAGGATCGCGTCAAAGCGACCAGTGAGGCGACTGCGCCTCTGGTGTACGGAACCATGCTCCACGAAATCTTCCAAGAAGCTCTCTTGGCGAATCAGTGGGATCTACGGTTCCTCAGTGGCGTGATTGACAAAGTTATGGAGAAGCATATCGAAGACTTATATAAGATCAAGGTCGGCACCAGCATTGCTAAGGAACATCTTCAGTCAAAGATGACAGAGTTGAGTTGTTGGGCCACGGCTTTCGTAGCCTCTCAGCCGAATGTATGTCATATCCCTCTTTCTTCTTTCCTTCGCCGCTAACAATGTCTAAAAGCTTGACGCTGTCGTCCATGATCGCAATGGAAAGAAGGCCAACATGTGTGTCAGCAAGCTACTTGATGTTGAAGAACATGTTTGGTCACCCATGTACGGACTCAAGGGGAATATCGATGCAACTGTGCAAGTCACGATGAGAGACGGCAAAGACGTCAAGACACTGACCGTCCCCTTTGAAGTCAAGACGGGCAAGCATGCCAACAGCAATCACATGGCCCAAACAGCACTCTATAACCTTCTTTTGTCTGACCGATACGACCTCAACATCGTCTACGGCATCCTCTACTACATGGAAACATCGCAGACCATGCGCATTCCAACGATTCGGCACGAGTTACGACACATGATCATGCAGCGGAATCAGTTGGCGTGCCACATCAGAGAACGCAGCGTTCAGCTTCCGCCGATGAAAAGAAGTAAGAACATGTGCGGAAAGTGCTATGCGAAGACATCTTGCTTCATTTACCACAAACTTGCCGACGACGGCAATGGCGAAACAAGCGGCATGGACAAGGGTTTCGACGAGGTTGTCAAGCACCTCACGCCTAAACATCAAGAATTCTTCCTCAAGTGGGAAAACCTTTTGACCAAAGAAGAAAAAGAGACGCAAAAGCTCAAGAGAGAACTCTGGACCATGGTCAGCCAGGATAGAGAGAAGGTGGGAAGATGCTTCTCCGATGTCATCATCGAAGAGGGCTCGTGGTCGGAGGACCTGGGAACCTCAAAGATCAACCGCTTCAGCTATACCTTCGTCAAGCGTGTCCCAAACCCAAGCCACTCTTTTTTGGAGTCTCAACTTGCTGTCGGAGAGCCTGTGGTTGTCTCAGACGAGCAAGGGCACTTTGCTCTCGCCCTGGGCTACGTCACCTCTGTTCGCAAACAGAGAATCAGCGTAGCAGTCGACCGGCGCCTCCACAACGCACGCATTAAGCAGCCAGGCTTTGACGAAACTGACAATCAAGTTTTCGCTAGTATCATGGAAGTTGTGCCAGAAGGCTGCACCGCAGATCAATCCCAGGGCAAGATCAAGCAGGCACCTATTCGCTATCGACTTGACAAGGATGAGTTCAGCAATGGCATGGCCACTGTCCGCAACAACCTTGTTCAGACCATGGCCGAAGGTGTCTTCGGATCTAGAGAGATCCGCCGTGCCGTGGTTGACCTAGTACCTCCAAGATTCAAGGCAGCGCCTACACAATACGTCATTGCCGACCGAGAGTCCCTGAACGTCGACCAGCACAGAGCTATCGAGAAGGTGATGTGCGCCGAGGACTACGCGCTAGTGCTTGGCATGCCTGGTACGGGCAAAACGACTACCATCGCTCATATTATTCGGGCTCTCGTATCCCAGGGGAAGAGTGTTCTGCTCACCTCATACACACACACTGCAGTCGACAACATTCTTTTGAAGCTCAAGGACGACAAGACACCGATTCTACGTCTTGGGGCCCCTGCCAAAGTTCATCCAGATGTTCAGCAGTTTGCAATCCTGGCCGGCCAACCCATGAACTCTTTCGAACAGATCAAGGAAGCTTGGCATGATACACCGATTGTAGCGACTACTTGCCTCGGTGTCGGGCATGCGCTCTTCAACGAACGTACTTTCGACTATTGCATCGTCGACGAGGCGTCTCAGATCACACTGCCAATCTGCCTGGGACCGATCCGGATGGCCAAGACTTTTGTCCTCGTCGGAGATCACAATCAACTTCCACCCCTTGTTCAAAATGAAGAGGCTCGGGAAGGCGGTCTTGATGTAAGCTTGTTCAAGCTTCTCTCTGACACACATCCAGACTCGGTGGTCAACCTAGAGCATCAGTACCGCATGTGTGAAGACATCATGACTCTCAGCAACACCCTCATCTACGGGGGGCGACTACGATGCGGTACTGAGGAGTTGCGATCCAAGAAGCTTGACGTGCCAAATATGAATGCACTCAAGAGTCTCCACCACGACTCTTTATCGATGCTTAAGGTCGGGACACCAAAGTCGTTCTGCACATCCATGGCCGAAAGCTGCTGCTGGCTGCGAGATTTGCTAGATAGCGAAGCTCGGGTGCGATTTGTTAACACTGACACCCTGCAACCCCTCACTCGAGAGGAGGCAAAGGGCAACCGAATCGTCAACCCCGCGGAGGCTCGTATCGTTGTTCAACTCGTCGAGGGCCTCCTTACGGTAGGGGTACCCGACGGTGAAATTGGAGTGATGACACACTATCGCTCTCAGCTATCATTATTGAAGCATGGTCTCCGTGGCCATGTGGGCGTGGAAATGCACACTGCCGATCGCTTTCAAGGACGAGACAAGGATGTTGTTATCCTTTCGTTGGTTCGCAGTAATGAGAGCTGCAGCATCGGCGAACTATTGAAGGATTGGCGACGCATCAACGTCGCTTTCACTCGAGCCAAGACGAAGCTGCTTGTTGTTGGGAGCAAGAGCACTTTGAAGGGCAGCGGAAAAGATGAAATGCTCAGCAAGTTCATCAGTCTCATGGAGGAACGGGATTGGATCTACAACTTGCCATCCGACGCTCTGGACAGTCATATGTTCGACGACACAGCAACACAATTGACAGCAAGTGGAATCTCCCCCAACAAACCGAGAAACACCAGCTCGAGAAAGGGATTCAATCCACGCCAAGTTCCAAAGCTGGCCTTAGGAGTCGACAAAGAGAACCATCGGCCTCAGCCCAAGAGGGCAAGAATTGGAGAAAAGGTACTTATGAAGGATAAAGTCATTCTCAGAGACATACTTAATGACATGACAAACGGGGCTTATTGAGATATGCATGGGCTTGGAGTATACGGCATTGGTTTATCATGGCAAAAGGATATACTGTCAGGATTATGGGATGTAAGGCGTTCATAGGTATTGGCGCTGCAACTTAGGATATCAGCGATCAGTTGCGCACACAGGAAATTCTTCGCCCGCGTTTTCTGTTCAACCATCATTAAGCACATCCGTGACATGATGAGGAACAGGCAACAACCATCGAGTAAGAATGGACTTGGCGAACTCACAAAGCTGGTTCGACCGGTTGTATAGTCATCCAATCATTGAATAGGAAAGCCAGTTGGGGGTATAGAAACACCTAGCAACGCTGAGCTCAGAATCGAGGATACGACGCAACTCCAGAGCAAGGCACTATGTTCTGCCAAGCCACCCAATCATTTGCATTAGTTCTCATGTTGACCTTCCCTTACGAACAAAAGAGGCGAGCACTTGCCGGACACTCGGGGAGCAACTGTTGAGAGGTCGGGTGGAGTCGGCAGGAAGCACGTGATGTGGATGACTAACCATGCCGACGTGGATCCGAGAATCCAACTCCAATCCAACAACCTCACCCGTGTACTGCCAACGACGCAAACTCCGACTATCGCGCGCCCGCGAAACGCACCCCTCAATCCCCCACCTCATCCATCACCGGATCTACGTCAAGTGGAGCGTATCGCCTCTCCTCCCACCGCGAAACACAAGCAACCTCACCCGAACCGAACGATGCCGGCGATACGTCCGACCGCGGCCATCCGCGCCGCCTGCGCCATCAAAACCACCGCTCCCTCTGCGAGAGCCTTCTCTGTGTCGGCCCGCCGCGCTGGTGGTGGCTCCGACTTCGACCCCCCCACCGGCTGGCTCTGGGGCGTCAAGCCCGGCGAGAAGTACGAGAAGGAGGGTTGGGAGACGCCCTTCTACACCCTCTTCTGCGGAGGCATCATCGCCACTGGCGTTGTCCTTGCCTTCAAGCCTGACACTTCGTAAGTGCTAGCTTTTTTCTCAATGCTCTCTAGGGGATGTCCCTGGTTATTTGCAGCTCTACACGGCTTTGGAGGTGCTCCTGCGGGAATGCTTAAATGCCAATTGAGCTTGGGATGAGGTAATTTTGATATTGGGAATGAGCTGCGGCTAATACTACCCGCCTGGGAACACAGACTCGACACCTGGGCCCTTGAGGAGGCCAGACGGAGATTAGAAAAGGAGGGTATCCTGCCGGATCCCGAGAAGTGAACACGGAGAATTGCAACCTGCCACGAAACTCTTTGCGACAACGCCGAATCACTTTTTATCTGGAGCTTGGTTTGAGACTATAGAAAGGGATGGGGTAACGGAACACACACAAAGACACCGAGCCGCGAGGATGGACTTTTCGATACGGTGAAGAGGGGAAGAGCGAGAAGAGAAAGACAAGAGGAAAGGAAGCTCGTCGTCGATATCCGGCGGCGGTGTCTTGCTTTTCCGGAAAAAAGTGTACATGACCCTGCCCTTGAACTAGTTTTCTTTTTTCCCACACTTTTCTTACACTACGAAGACTTATCTGATCTTCGCGAACCTTCCGAATGATTAGATTTGCATTGATGATGTTTGACGGCGGGGCTTAAGCCTCGTGCCGATGACTTGGAACTTTTCAGTTGAAAATGAACATGATACTCTTTGATTGGAATATTGACCGGGTTGCAGCATGCTATGCTTCTACATGAACAACACACGCCGATAATCATCTGCCATTGCTTATAGGTCGTGCTAATTGCCAACTTGTTGACCTCATGGTTTAATGCGGTTCAGGCTCACCAAGCATTCACCTTATTCACAGGAGCTTTAGGAGTCGAAAACACCACAACATGCACTCCCTCGGCCCCAGGTGTGAAAATACTAAGCCTTTGAATGTTTCTATTTTTCGCGCTTCTCGTTTGGATATCTATAAATCTACATGCCGCTGAGTCGGCCAACGCTTTACGCAGCAATGTAACTCCACTCGTGCTCCTCATCACCATACTGTCTCGCCTCCATCCAGCCCTTCATCCTCAGGGCAATCTCACCAGACTCCTCGGTCTCGCTGAGACCGCAGTTGATAGACTTGCCCTTCCAGGCAATGGTGCGGATAGGGCTAACGATGGCAGCAGTACCAGCACCGAAGGCCTCAATCAGGCGACCCTCGGAAGCAGCCTCATCGAGCTCCTTCATGGTGTACTTGCGCTCTGACACCATCCACCCTTCGGGCACTAGTCTCTCGCGAGCCAGAGACAGAACGGAGTCGCGGGTAACACCCTCGAGGATGGTGCCGTCGAGAGGCGCGGTGACAAGCTCCTTCTGGCCGGTCTCCTTGTTCTTGATGGCGGCGAACATGTTCATGGTGCCGACCTCGGTGACGTACTCCTCCTCGCCGAAGAGCCACAGGTTCTGCTGGTGGCCACGGCTGGCGGCCTCGAGCTGGGGTACGATGCAGGGCGCGTAGTTTGCACCGAGCTTCTTGTCGCCGACGCCACCAGGCCAGGCACGAACGGCATAGTCGGTGGCCTCAAGAGAGATGGCCTTGAAGCCAGTCGGGTAGTATGGGCCGACAGGGGAGGCGATGACGTAGAGCAGGGCGGAGCCGGGAGGGCCGACACCGAGGGTCTTTTGGGTACCGATCATGGTAGGGCGGAGGTAAAGAGAGTATCCGCGCTCTTCAGGGATGTAGTGCTTATCAAGCTGGACAAACTTGGAGATGAGCTCCATCAAGGCGGTGGGCTCGAAGGTGGGCAGGGCGATGCGGGCAGCCGACTTGTTGAGGCGGGCCATGTTCTTGTCCGGGCGGAAGAGCCTGACCTTTTCATCCTTGTCCTTGTAGGCCTTCATGCCCTCGAAGCACTCAAAAGCATAGTGGAAAACGCAGGTGGCAGGGTCGAGGGACAGGTTCTGGTAGGGGACGATCTTGGGATCGAGCCATCCTTGTTCTTGGTTCCATTCGATGGTGAGCATGTGGTCTGCGGCGGAACGGTTAGCAATTGGAATTGTGCGACAAGCTGATTAGGAATCCTGACCGGTGAACTTGCGGCCGAAGACAAGCTCTGCCGGGTTGCCCAGGGTTCCCGGGTTCTTCGTCTTCTCAATCGTGAGTTTTGAGGCATCGAGGCCGAGGGGCTTGGCCACGGAAGCGGCCTCGGGCTTGATGCTGTAGAGCCTCGCTGATTGCCAGGTAGCGGCTAACCTGGGAGAGCAGCGGGGAGCTGCTCTGAAGGCGCCGGCGGCGGCGCGGGGGAAAAGATGCCGCATCATGGCGACGGTTTCGTTGTGGTGTTTGTGGGTATAAAACAGAAAAGGAGGTGAAGATTTTCAAAACTCTAAACAAGTTGCAAATATGCTTTGATAAATACTACAAAGACGGTGAGTCTGTCAGGAACCAAAGATGAAGCCCGTCAATTGCGGTCAACAACGAATCCAATTAACCAATCCAATGCTTGTTGAAAGGATGAATGAAGGTAGCACCGTGTCGGGAGGTAGGGCGCAGTTTTGAGAAGGGCGTGGAGGTCGCGCAAAGAGTCACGAAATCGGAGCGTTATCGGACCCGCGGGACGTGTAAGCCGTCGCTTTCCATCGCCGCCCAGGTTCCAGAGCTGCTGTTCAGGGTCCCGGCTCCGGAACCGTCCCGCTCTGTTAGGTGCAGCGAGGTGTAAGGTCCAGGAGGCGCGAGCTTAGGTCAGCGACCACTTTGATTGGCATGGGCCTTAAAGGGCATAAGGTAGAGTACTTAGCTGCGACCAGGAGGGGTGGGCGGCCCCCAGCTCAGGTAAGGTGTGCCCAACTTATTCGAAGCCGAGCCTTGAACGCAGGGGTGGGAACTGTGGGATCATCGCTAAAAAGCATGGATATCGTGCTGATTGTACTTTGGGACGCTCTTACCTATCAGCGACGTGGAAGTTGACGCGGCTGCACGCCTGCATCTGAACATCAGCTTTCGAGCCAACTTGCCAATTCAGTCTAATTGCGCGTTCTGTCTGCACCTCCATATTTTTTCTGTCGAGCGCAACAAGACATTATTCGGGTGTTAGCTACAAAGCCTCAAAGGACGGTCTTTCTTGACGCCTTATCGACCTCGCTGTTGGGTGCCCCTCCCAGCCTGCATCGATCCCAAAGACAAAGGCCCTGCCATTCTCCCCGAGAGCGCGCGCAACTGACAGCAAACTCCGGACTTGGCGCAAACTCCATATTTACCTCCCTTGGCCGTCATGACGATCGAGTCCGCTCGAGTTCCGTTTCCTCCGCCTTGACGACGACGACGACGACGACGACGACGCAGACGATTCCAGCTTTAAGACACGAAGACCACATCGACGCAGCCGACAACAGCCATGTTCTCCTCGGCGCTCAAGTCGATATCTTCGACAAACATTACCGCCAACTACTCCATCTCCTCGACCCAGACCTCGTCTGCCGGCCCCTGGAAGATATACGATTGCAAGAAAAAGTCGACGGGGAAGCCTTACAGCGTCTTCGTCTTTGATAAAAAGGCTCTCGACGGCCATGGAAGCAGCCTCGGCCGGTCGAGTGCGTCCGCCTTCAAACGTGCTGCCGAGGAAGTCATTGAACGCCTGAAGAAGGAGGCTTCGAGCCTGGCGAAGTTGAGACACCCGAGCGTCCTCGAGCTCGTCGAGCCGGTCGAAGAGACGAGGGGTGGCGGGCTGCAGTTCGTTACCGAGGCCGTCACGGGCTCGCTGGCGGCCCTGCTGCAGGAGAAGGATGACCAAGAACGGAGCGGTGGGGTCGGCGGGCGGTCGAGCCGCTATGTCACCGAGGACTCGGACGGCGTGCGCCGGCGGCGCGAGCTGGAGATTGACGAGCTCGAGATCCAGAAGGGGCTGCTGCAAATCAGCAAAGCTCTAGAGTTCTTGCATGAGAACGCTGGTCTGGTTCATGGAAACCTCACGCCTGATGCTATCATTGTGAATGCCAAAGTCAGTCTATTCCTGCCAACGAGCTCTGCTCTCTCACACACACGCACACAAACATAAAAGCTCTGTTGATCGCTAACTTGAAATAGTCTGACTGGAAAATCAGTGGTCTGGCCTTCTGCGGACCTTCCGAGGGCTCCAACAAGCCGACCTCCTTCCAACCCATCAGCTTGTCGGAGGTGCTCAATCCAGACCCTCGACTGCCTCGATTTGTGCAGTTAGACCTCGACTACACCTCCCCTGACTTTGTCATCGACAACAACTTCACCACCTTTGCCGACATGTTCTCGTTGGGTCTGTTGGCTGTCGCCCTTTACAACTCGCCCCACCGCTCGCCCATCGAGTCACACGGCAGCTTATCAACTTATAAACGGACATTCTCGTCTTCATCAACAGTTCCGTCTGCGTCGAACGGATTCTTATCATCACGACCATTGCCCAAAGAGCTTGTTCAGCACGTACTACCGCGGCTAATCACTCGCCGACCAGCGCAACGTCTCACAGCCAAGGAGTTCCAAGAAAGCGAATACTTTAATAATGTGCTTGTCTCGACCATCCGCTTCCTCGATGCTTTCCCGGCAAAAACACCAAACGAAAAATCTCAGTTCATGCGGGGCCTGGTCAAGGTTATGCCCTCATTCCCCAAAACGGTCATGGAGAAGAAGCTTTTGCCAGCATTGCTTGAAGAGATGAAAGACAAAGACCTGATAGCACTGATCCTTCAGAATGTTTTCACCATTATCGACTTGCTGCCATCTGCGAGACGTGTCTTCGCCGAGAAAGTACGCCCAGCGTTGAAGGCGACCTTTGCCCCGCCTCCTAAGAAGGACCAGCCTCCAGAGAGGGACCCTACCAAAGACGCTGGGTTAATGGTGGTGCTTGAACACATGTCAACCATCTGCAACAACTGCAACGGCAAGGAATTCACAGATGGTAAATTAAACTCACCATCTCTGGTATAGAAATTGCTAACATATTCTTAGATATTTTACCCGTCGTCTATGCGGCGATCGAGGCGCCAACTCCAGCAGTTGTCGACGCGGCTCTGAGAGGCCTACCATCTATCCTGCCAGTTCTCGACTTTAGCACCATCAAGAACGAGCTCTTTCCTGTGATTGCGGCTGTCTTTAGCAAAACCAGCAGTCTCGCCATCAAGGTGCGAGGTTGCCAAGCCTTTGTCGTTTTGTGCGGAGGGACACCAGACGGGCAAGACGATGGGCTTGATGCGTTTGGTGCTGCAAAGAAGAAGCCCTCGTCATCTTCGAGCATGCTGGACAAATACACCATGCAGGAGAAAATCATTCCGCTGATCAAAGCTATCAAGACTAAAGAACCTGCTGTCATGATGGCGGCTCACGGAGTTTTGCGGGTGGTTGGCGAAGCTGCTGACGCTGAATTCGTCGCGATCGACATCCTCCCCATCCTTTGGCATATGAGTCTGGGGCCTTTGCTCAACTTGAAGCAATTCCAGGACTTCATGGACCTCATCAAGAAGTTGTCCAAGAGGGTGGAGGACGAGCAGACCAGGAAGCTGCAAGAGCTTTCTGGCACCAACGGCAGCACAGCCACGTCCAACGAAGACTTCATGGCTTTCGGCGGCGTCAGTGGGACAACGTTCGATACCAACGGAGGCGCGGAGGACGACTTCGAAAGCTTAGTCAAAGGCAAGACGACGCGGACGTCAACTTCAGATGCCTTCTCAAGCTGGGAAGAGACACCTGCCACGGCAAGAGTTACGTCGCCTGCGCCCGGAAGTAGATCTACAACTCCGGCGTTTTCGTGGTCAAGTCCGCCTCCGACTCAGACCGCACCCCAGCGGCCAAGCCTCAACCTGGTTTCCGTACGGTAACGCCTGATCTGGCCTCATTCCAGACAATGAGCCCAACATCTACTCAGTTCTCTAAGCCCTTGCAACCAACTACACAAACCTCAACACAGCCAGCGCATTCAAGCTCGGCAATGAACTGGTCCACGGCGTCGGCGACGACTTCCAACCCATGGTCATCATCTTCTTCGACACCGACGCCGGCCTTTTCGGCCGGTAACTCCATGTCGCCACCCCGAGCTCCGCTTTTGGTGGAATAAGCACGCCCATGTCCAACTTGTCGCTCGGTGGGCAACGGCCCGGCCTGTCGCAGTCATCGTCGTTTTCCTTGCCGCCGCCACCACCTTCCAACAACTCAATGGGCTTATCCGGGTCATCCGGATTTAGCCTACCGCCTCCGCCCAGTCACACGCCGCCAGTGCAATCAGGCATGAGTGCATTCAACAAGCCTGCGACCAATACTGGTACTGGCATGGGGATGATGAGTCAACAATCAATGGGCAGCATGGGCAGCATGGGCTCACGACCTGGAATGAGCATGGGCAACATGGGGATGGCATCCGGTGGGAGCATGAACAGCATGATGAACAGCAACATGGGCATGAACAGCATGGCCGGGCTTCAGCAACAACAGCAGCAGAAGCCGCAACAGAAGAGCGGGTTGGATAAGTACGAGAGTCTCATTTAGCGGCGCACTGGAAATAACACATAGCATGGTTGCCACAGCGCCAGGCATCCCAGAGTTGTTTACATGATACACACATACACAAAAGATGCGTTGTTAGAGTTGCCGGTGCTTAGGATGGAAAAAGGCCGTGGACGGGGTTTTCCATGGTTGGGGACAAAATGAAAAAAGACTGAAAGTCGATCTGAAGAGTCTACAAGTTGCATAGTTCAATGGGTAGAGTTGACGCTGAGATGAGTAGAGAGATTACGGAAACACTTGGCACGACTCATGAAGTCGCATACAACGTGATAAGCAAACGGAGTTTAACATAATAGTGTTTAGCGCCGTGATTTGGTGGGCCGGATAAAACCCTGTAGAGTCAAGATTTTTTGAGACGTGGACTAGGCAAGTATCGGGCGTCGGGGTGGCACATGACGGAAGAGAGATTTTGTCTGGCGATGTCCACCGAGGCGAACGCCCCAAGGTGGTAGAGCGATGTGGATGACTCTCTCGGCTAGCAAGCCGAGGATCGTAGTTGTATAGAGCCGAACTGGCTGCTTCGCAAAAAAAAAAATCACTGTAACGAGATGGAGCATGAAACTTAACGACTTTTGGTTTGATTGAATCCGTGTTTTGGGGAAAGAACCGGGTATGTTTCAAGACGGGGGTGAAAGGTTTGTCCATGATGCGATGATTCGCAGAGGGTGATACCTGTGGTCGGCACTCAGGACTACGGAGGGCCCGCCCAGATTGTAAAGGCGGGTTAGTTGCGCAAATCCATCTCGATCTGGCACCTACCTCTCAACCCGAGAGGTGTACCGCTAAGCAAGAAAGAAACGGAGAAAACCCCCTTTTCGCTGGGAACTGCTCAGTGTCTGGAGTAAGCCTCGTCGATTTCTCGGCCGGACAGAGAAATGATCGGAATCTCTACACTGCCTCTTTTTTGTCTCTTGAGTGTCTGGAGCGAGAGAGGCGCCAACACGTGGTTGAGTTGGCTTAGTCTTGCTCTACGCTTGGTTTGTTTGTTCTGGGTAACGCAACCAGCCAGGGCCGGGGTGCGTGGCCGTTCACGTGCAGGACAGGACAGCAACAGAGTTGGGCCTTTTCGGCGCGGGCGGGCTGGCATTGTTTAATGATGCAGGCCGATACTGGCTGTATGGAGCGAAGGGAAGATAGGACCGAGGCGGGATACGAGTTATAAAATGTCCTGTTGGATTTGACAATGGCCGTGCGAGTTGGGGGGCCGATGCGGCGTTTGTGTGTTGGAAGGGTCGATGTACGTAGAGTCAACTCGAGATGTCGTCAACCTGACGGCAAAGGCAAGAGGAACTCCGGGAAGATGAGACGAAAGGCAAGTAACAGCCCGTCTCGAGGGACATCTGGTGTGAGCCTGTGATGGGAGCTCTCCGTGGACAACAACCTGGAAGGCAGATAAGGGGGTTAGGTTAGGTACAGTACATTTTTTGGCGCCAAGGAGTTAAATCATCCTGGGAGCGTCACTCGCTCGGATCAGACAGGCTAAGCCACGACCCAATAGAGTCAGACAGAGTAGGGACACTCTGGTTTGAGCCAAACCCGCTCGATGGAAACTCGTCGAGATGCCTCTAGAAACCAGAAACATTTTCGCAGTTGATGGGTAAGACGAGGAATTATCAAAAAAGGCAAAGGACGATGGAAATCGACAAGTCGTTAATGACAAGTGCTGCTGATAGACCGAGGGATTGGCTGGCGGCGGGACAGTGCGATGGGTATGACAGATTGATTGGGAGATTGACCTCCGTGTACGTACGTGTGCGTGTCTATGTTTGTGCCTTGGGCCCGGCCCAACCCACCCTGGTCGGACATTAGCCAAACCTGGTTCGACGGCAAGGCGATGATGGCTATATCACAACAGGAACACGCTTGGGCGGCAGAATGGCGACGGCGGTAGGTTTGACGGCTGATGATGATGGACGGCGCTGGCGAACAGGGAAACATAGAAGATGGTCGAGTTTCAATTCGAGCCAGGTTCCGAAACTCGCTGAAGGAGGAAAACGCAGGATGGACGGCGCTACATGATGGATGGACAAGTGGAGGGAGTTAGAGATTGCGTTTGGCCTGGCTAGCTTTTGGTTGGACGGGATTGTACACGTCCACACGCCGCACACACCACCACTACTTACTCACTCAGATATTACATGTATTTTCGGCGGGCGAGTTAGAGCTGCTGCTGCTGTCGCTGGCGTAAAGGTAAATGGTCTGTCTGTACACTCACCACCTTTGAGCCATCCGAGGTACGTTTACATTTATCCCATTTCCCATTTCTCCTCACAGCAGCAGCACGCCAACCTCGTCCAGCTTTGACTCGGTTGTTGAACCTGACCGCGCAGTGCGGTGCGGTGCGGTGCGGTGCTGGACCTGGGTTGGCCCAACCTCACCCCGTCCGTCCATCAGTTCCATGGCCCATCAATGCCGGCTGAATCGTAAGCAGAGGTAATTAGCGTACAGTAATACCTTAGACTAGAGTAAAGAGCGTAATAACACGCACCCCCGAACATACATGTAACGGCATTATTGGATTTGTATTCGCATCTGCGTCTGCCTCAGCTGAGTGTTACCAAACGACTAAGACGGAGCCACCCTGGTCAACCTTTTGCCTTTTTGATTGCCCATCCCGTTTCTACCTGGCTCGGTTTCCTTGGGCTGGCGGAGGACTGGACTGACAATCGCGCTCATCATACACTCTTTCTGCCTGTCTTGTCCCGTCTTCCTTACTTTCCGCGCAGTCACACCTTGACCTTGGTCCATTCGCTCATCCTTCAGTCTGCTCCTCCATCTTGTCCTCCTGGGCCCTATCCGAATCTGCTTACGGAGTCTTCGCCCACCTTCGTGTAAATTCCTTTTCCTCTCCCTCCAGACCTCGCGTCCCTTCTCTGCAGACCGACTAGACCGCGCGACTGCTGCTAGCCTTTTCGACCCCTTACCTTGCTGCAGCATTATGCCTGCTTGCCTGTGTCTCCTACCTTTTTTTAATAATTTTTTTTCGTTTCTCTGACTTCACCTTTACGAAAAACGACAACCTTTACCTCATATGTTTTGTACCTTGCCTTACTGGCCTCCCTCTTCCACTTTTTCCCGCGCCCTTTTCCCATTCCGTCCGGGAACCCAAACCTGAGCCAAAATTCTTCCATCAATTCCTGACCGTCCCATCCGTTCCGTTTCGGTCGGTCGGTGGTTTTTTTTTCTGCCTCATCCCCTCTGAACCCTGCAACTCTTGTCTCTCTCTTCGCCCTCCGATCAAACACAACTTGAAAGAATCACCGACCTTCGTTTCCCTGGCACCGTGGCTCGTCAACTTGCCTCCCGTCAACTTACCTGGCCATTGCCTCACGCAACCGGTTTAACTTGAGTTGAATCATTACTGCCTTTGATCATTGCGAGCAGCAGGCGTACTCATATAGTCTTTGCCTCTCTCTCTCTCTCCCTCTCTCTCTGTTCTTGCCTCTTGTTAGATAAAAAAGACCAGGGCACAGGGTCTTCTCCGTCGCGCCACCCCAGGGAGATAACCGACGAGTTTCGAGCGAAAAGGCGGAACTCGGCCATCCAACCTCATTCGCAGCCAAGGCATCTTTTTTTCCCTCCTTCTCTCTCCCTCTCACACACACACACACACACCCACCCTTGAGGGCCCGACCGTCCTCAACTTATTAAATTCCTCTTCCCATCAAAGCCACACCGGGCCTTTTACTTTATTTATTCTCTACGCCAATCTCCTTTCTTCCCCCGCAATCCATCATCCTTTCTCAAGGTGAGCTTGTGCAAGGGATTTCAGAGAAAAAGATAAGAGAGAAAAAAAATAGGTCCAAGTGTTGTTTCCCTCTCTACACACTCTGGCCGCCAAACTCTGGTCGCTCTTCATTTCCCCTTCACCAAGCCCATACCAGCCCAGTCTTTGTCCAGACTATCCTTTTGCGCTGTCTCACAAATCAACCCACCGGCTGGTCAGCGTCACGCACCCCTATTAACCAGACACGTACACCCGGCCAGCTAGCGACTCTTTTGCTCAGCTCAGCCCTCGTCTACTCACATCTCCAATCTCATCCCTAAACTACTCTCTTTGCGAGTTTCATCAACTACTGCCTTCCTTCCGTGTTTCCCATCATCCAAAAAATTACAGAGTCAACAAACCCCAACACGCCGAGAAACATGAAGACTCAGCGGGCGGCGACAAAGGCCGTTACGGTCAAGAAGCGCGGCAAAAACAAACCCAAGGGCGCCACCGCGTACAAGATCGACAGCTTCAAGGCCCCCGACAGCCCAACCCTCGAGGAAATCAAGCACGCCGTCGGTCTCCAGGAACTCGAGGAACGCGTCAAAGACGCCAAAGAGTCCGCATGGGAAACCGACTCGCTACTGGAAGATGCCATCGCTGAGCTGGGCGATGCGAAACTCTCTTCGGATGGTAGGTCGCAGTCCCTCTCACTCACTCAATACGCTTTTGTCAACCCCCGGGCAAGCATGACACTTTCACTGCTACTTTTAGCCTTGGATTACGTGTTCCTCTCATCATTGGGTCATTTTTGTGTTGATATGCTAATCTGTCCACTCAAAAAGATCCTGATAGCTGCACGCCTGACGAGGCCATGGGTCTGCGCCACCAACTCAGAGCCCTCGGTCCCGCAGAATTCTGTAGAAGAACCGTCGATGCCGGCCGCTACACGGCCAAGAAGCTGCTGTCGGCTTTTGGCCTCAAGCCGCCCGCCTTCCTTGAGGGCGCCGAAGATGAAGCCTACTTCAGCCTCTTGTCGCTGGCCATCAGCAGAGAGCTGTCCAAGCGCGCCAAGCTGTTCCGCTACAACACGGTTGACGACGCCGTGGAGTTGCTGCAGCGGAGCAAGAACATCATCGTCCTCACCGGCGCTGGCATCTCGACCTCGCTCGGCATCCCCGACTTCCGCTCAAAGGGCGGTCTCTACTCACAGCTCGAGCACCTAGGACTGAATGATCCACAAGAGGTGTTTGACATTTCCGTCTTTAAGCAAGACCCAACCATCTTCTACACCGTCGCCAAGGACATCCTGCCCTCCACCAACCGCTTCACGCCGACTCATGCTTTCATCTCGATGCTTGAGAAACAGGGCAAGCTGCTTACCAACTACACGCAAAACATTGACAACCTCGAAGCCAAGGCAGGCATCTCTGCCGATAAGCTCATTCAATGCCATGGCTCCTTCGCGACCGCCACGTGTGTCCAATGCGGTTTCAAGTGCGTCGGCGACGAAATCTTCCCAGACATCAAGGCGGGCAAGATCCCGCGCTGCCCGCGCTGCATCCAGAACCTCCGCCCCAACGGCAGCACGAAGCGCAAGAGGTCAGCGGGCACGGAGCGCAAGCGCCGCAGGTTCAGCTCCGACGACTCGGTGTCGGACGGCGAATACGACATTCCCAGTGTGGGCGTCATGAAGCCGGATATCACCTTCTTCGGCGAGGCGTTGCCCGACGAGTTTAGCAGACGCCTGACGGAGCACGACCGTGACAAGGCGGACCTCGTCATTGTCATCGGCACGAGTCTGAAGGTGACGCCAGTGTCTGAAATAGTGAGCTGGCTGCCGGCCAACATCCCTCAGATCTACATTTCGCGACAGGCTGTCAACCACATCAACTTCGACATCGACCTGCTCGGCGACTGCGACGTCGTTGTCTCGGAGCTGTGCCGCCGCGCCGGCTGGCCGCTGAAGCACGAGATGGTCCCCGAGAACCAGATCGTCGACGTCAGGCCCGACGGTGGATGTGTCAGCAGACACGTCTTCGAGGTTGTCAACAATCGACCTCAGCCCAAAGAGCCGCAAGAATCTCAGCAGCAGCCGCAGCCTAAGCAGCAACGAGGTGTCAAGACTGAGCCCGGTACTGTGAAGCCCAAGAACGAGCCCAGAAAGCCTAGGAAATCTGGCTGAGTTTGAGACCCTTGTCTGGGGCGACGGTTCTCCAACGACAACTTCATAATGCTGCTCATTTTGCTTTCTTTTTTCTTCCTTCGTTGTTTCGACGTTACAGATACCCCCCACTCAGGCGTTGATCTGAGAGCGCGCTTCAGGCAGTCCTCTTTTGATGGGCTGGCTCACTCAGTCATACCACCACACCGGCACTTTGATTCGACGAGACGCCCAAACAAGCCCAAAGCCCCAAACCTAGGACGGAACGGCACTATTGCCAGTGGCAAGCGACGGATGCGTCAACGCACGACAAAACACCGCCTGCCTTCTGTCCTGTGGCTGCGGGCCATCGCACACATGTCGCACCCGTTTGGCTTTTTTTGCTTCACAACATGTCAACAAGACGGTCTAGCAAAAGCCTGGCAGAACCTTGTGCATAAACTGGCTTCCCCACCACAACGACGCACCATTGCGGTCAATGGATTTGCGGTCTGAGGGACAACACACAACACGCCCTAACTCGCGCGACCAATCCCCATTGAGTTGGTTTCGTCCCACAACTCTTTGCGCTTTTCTTGTATTATATTACGAGAAGAGTCTCTTAATACAAATGATATACCAAACTACAAGTTGTGTACTATTGAAACCACTACAAATTGCAGGCCGATGCGTTTTGCGCACCACTTTTTTCTTTCTTTTTTCTTTTGTAGCTGAAAGGCAAAGGCAGGCAGGCAGGCAGACGGTTTACACTGGAGGTGTGTAGATTGGGGAACGTAAAAGCCGGCGGACATTGGCGTCAACGGATTACTTCTTTTTTTTCTTTTCTTCTCTCTTCATTGTTTTCATCGTGCCTTTTGGAGGGGTCTTGGTTTCTTTCCCTTATACTCTACACAAGTCCTCCTTTCTGTCAGAATACCTAGGAACCCCGACAGCGGTTTCCCATTTCTTCCTTTTCTTTTCTGGTCAGCTTTCTTTAGCTCGTCATCCTTGCGGGGGTTTAGAGACGGAACAGGTAGACAGGCTGTTTCGATAGCTAATCCAATGACCACGATACCATAACATATAACGAGTTGCGATGCACGCCTAGTGAAAGACATGCAGGGCGGCCATAGGATGTATTGATTGATGTATTGCCTCGCTGACGAGAGGGGCTGGCGTTATGGTGACTCAACCCCCGACGGCAAGCGCCTCGTTGGATCCTTGTCGCCCTCCTCCACCCTACGTGCACCGAACATGCGAGACTTGCCATGCAGAGGCCCCCGAGACTTACCTCGCAATGCTAAGTGATAAGGCCAACTCCCTGGCCTGATGAGGCTCATTTTCGCTGACGGCTCAGGCTGGGTTAAAGACGTATGCTTCGATGCTTGGCATGAGGGGTTTCTTGTCTGCCTGGCGGAAGGGGGGTTAGATAGCCTACCATCGACACAAAGTCCAAAGCCCCACGCCAGGCTTCCTCAACGAGACGCTTCAGCCTAGAGTCCAACGCGTGTTTCCACTTGTGAGATGCTGCCTTGATGGCGGGGGGGGGCGCAGCGCAGTTTGGCTAATCTGAGAGGATTCCGGCTCTAGCGTCAGCGCTGGCCCCGGACTGTTGTGTGCCTGACGGCGACGGTAAACACGGCACTGATTCCAAAGGCAGCCGTCTTCGGACGGTTGACGCCGCCACGGATCCCGCCAGGGCCGTGGGAGGGAATCCTCCGGCACCGCCCCGTCGACTCTGGGGTATCCGTCAAGTGCCCCGTCGACAGGCGACTTGGTCTTTGAAGACTCGCGGGGGGGGATACCGTTGTGCCACAACTCGCCTGCGGCGTGGGGTTTCCTTCGAGCAGGCTGCCTAGGGAGGAAACAGTCGTCAACCTTTGGCGCAGTTGAGACAGACGAGGATCATGTAAAGACGACTCTCGCGATGCCATCAAAGTCTCATTCAGCGAGGCTGTCACCATCTCCCTCGGCTTCGTTTCACATTACAGGTATCCGAAAATGAGTCGATCTGTTACGCTGCATTGAGCTCTGCACGGCAACCTTTGCTGCCTTGCCATTCTGCCCCAGCTCGCCGGGAAGAGATGGCTACTTGGTGTCAACGTCAACAACTCAACTCCGCCCTGCCTGCCGCGGTCGACGACATACGCGGCCAACATCCTCCTCTTCAACCCGGCCAACGGTCCCACAACAGCACGACAAACAGCCTCCCCGTACCCAGGTCCAGCCGTACCGTGAATAGACTCTCGCCTCGTTTCCACTATGCGTATAGCTGTTTGTTTTGGTGAAGCATTTGTGTTCCAACCGCAAGATCGACGGGTGGCAGCTCTGCTCAACCAACTCGGCCCCAGAACCACCGACCAGAACCTAAGGGTGTCGAACCACCAGAACCGACGCAACAATTGGGCCATCGCAGCATGTGCCAATAACAGAGAGATCGCTGCCGTGGTCCTCATCAAAGCGGAGAATCGCCAGTGAAAGGCTGAGCGGTTTGGTCCCACTAGATCGCTTACACTTGTGACAAGCACGACCCAGTGCTGCGAGGACTCAACCCCTACCGCACGCTCTTCCACTGATATCGATGCACGTCTCAGCCCTCATACTGTCCGAGTTTCACGTACTGCCTCGTAAGCGTAGAGTTTGAACGACAAAAAGACGTAGTGACTGCCCTCAAAGGCGTATTGCTTGATCTACTTGCCATTGACAAATTAGTGGGCGAGCCAAGAGTCGTCATATAGTCACCACTGCAAGCCAATTTAGTTCGAGAGAACTTTTGTTCTTATTACGAATTCTCTCCGACGTATTCAATCGTTCGCGGCCCTGGTCGGTCGTCGCGGGCTCTATGCTAAAAGAAGAAAAGAAAAATGAAGGTTTACTCAACCTCCAGTACGCGGAACGGGTATGACCGCGCAGAGAATCTTATGCTAGTACCAATACATTGCGCGCTCTTTCTTGGGAATTTTTGTTTTTCGCTCACAAAACGCCACTTTACCATATAAACGTTGTCGCCAGTACCGGGCGACCATTAATGTACTCCTCATTCCCGTGCCGTCTTCTCATCCCCTGCCTTCTCGTTCGTGACTTCTTCGCGAGGTTCTTCGCGTATCGAGTTCTCTCTCGATATTCCTCTCCTGACGTTGCTGTCAGAGTCGTCGTCGCTGTCACGACGCCTGCGGTCCGCCGGTGACCAGTTGGCTGCGATACCAGCAGCCACAATACCCGCCATGACGGTCGGGGCGCCGAGTGCCGAATTAGACCGACTGCGCGAGCTGTGGGAGCGCTTGCGAGAGTTGGGTGTCGCGGCCGTTGAGCCGAAGCTGTCCTCTCGCGTAGGCGTCGACGGCGACTTGATTGAGTTGCTGCGCGAGTGTGACGGGCTGCGCGAGCGGGCAAACGTTTCGCGGGGGTGTTGTACAGCGAACTTAAGGTTGTTCAAGCGTCCTCCCTTCATTCGCTTAATAAACGCCAGTTCGTCGCGGAGATCCGAAAGTGGCTCCGGGTACATCTCGAATTGTTCCTCGTCCGACACCGTAAGACCAGGGACAGTGTCCTTGGCACGGCGCTTGAGGTAGTCGGGAACGAGGCGCTCGATGAGAGCGTCGGGAATGAGACGGATGATGACACCAAACGGAATCGAGATGGCACCCAGAATGATAGCCATGGCCCATTGGGTGCCTGTCTGACCCTCGGAAGCGATCTGGAAAGCCGCACCGCCGACGAAGACGATCAGAATCTGTCCACCAATCATGATAGCGCTAATGGCGATGAAGAAGTAGTTCTTTGTAAGCCCCTCGAAAATGTTGAAGTTGTTGTCCAAACGACGGTTGCTGCGACAGATTAGTACATGAAACCATGATATCGGGGAGGATTTACTCACTTCCATTGGTTGAAGATCTGCATCCACACGAAGGTGTTGAAGACCAACGTGGCGATCTGATCATCAGGAATGTGCTCGGGGCCGGGGACAATAGCTTCCTTTCCATAGAAGAGCATAAATGTGATCGCAAGTTGGTAGACCGCCTGTCCCAGAATCATCTTCCACATGGTAGTAGTAATGATTGACGCATTACGCCTCTCGGGTTTCCTGTCGAGCACGCTGTCTTGAGGGGGGTCCGTGGCAAGGGCAAGAGCAGCAAGTGTGTCCATGATCAGGTTGACCCAGAGCAGTTGCACAGCAGTCAGCACGGAAGTGCTGCTAACCGCAGTAACGAAGGTGAGAATGACAGCAGTGATGTTGACCGTGAGCTGGAACTGGAGGAAGCGTTTGACGGCGTCGTTGACGGCACGACCCCACTTCAAGGCCTTGACAATGGAGTTAAAGTTATCGTCCATGAGAATGATCGAGGATGCTTCCTTGGCAACTTCGGTACCAGCAATACCCATGGAGAAGCCAACGTCGGCCGTCTTGAGTGCAGGAGCATCGTTGGTTCCGTCTCCGGTAACAGCAACGATGTCACCCTTGGCCTTGAGGCGCTTCACCAAGATACGCTTATCCTCGGGGCTGGAGCGGGCAAGGACGCAAAGTCGCGGGATAATGGCCTCTTGCTCAGCCTTGCTCAGGTTGCGGAATTCAGGGCCTTCCATGACAATACCATTGGGCTGCAGGATGCCGCACTCCTTGGCGATGGCCTCGGCTGTGAGCTTGTTGTCTCCAGTAACCATGCGAACCATGACGCCCGCCTTCTGGCAAAGCCTGACAGCCTCGGGAACTCCCTCGCGCAAGGGATCCTGAATGCCAACCATACCGACGAAAGCCATGGTTCGGAACATGAAATCGAAGTCGACGTTTTCGCCTCCATCCACACGGCGGGCGTTGCGAGGGGGCCACTGTTCGAAATCTCTGTAGGCAAGACCAATGGTTCGAAGCGATCGAGAAGCGTAGGTGTTGATGAGAGTAGTAATCGTCTGAAAGTTGGTCTCGGTCATCTGCACGAGCGTGGCGTCCTGGGAGGGGTCCCGGAAGATCTGAGTACACTTTCCGAGGACAATCTCAGAAGCACCCTTGACATAAACTCTTGCGCGCCCGTCCGGCAGTTGAACAACAATACCCATGCATTTGCGACCAGAATCGAAGGGGATGAGTTGAAGGATTTTGGCGTTCTCGCGTTCCTCGGCGACGGGGTGCATGCCGAGGTAGTCACGAGCCAACAAAAGCAAGGCCGTCTCCGTCTTCGATCCAACGTATGTCTTCTCGCCATCGACCTCGCCCTCGAACGCCGTCGAGTTGAGCGAGATGGACTTGACGAGAATCTCTTTAACCGGTGTACTGAGCATCTTGGCGAATTCGGCGATTGAGATGTCAGCTGCGCCATCCAGCGCGGCGTTGGCATCGCCGCTAGAGCTAGAAGGCCGCTGCCCACCGAAACGGTGAGTGGTGCCAATTGTGCCAGCAACGACCTGCATCTTGTTTTGCGTCAGGGTTCCAGTCTTGTCCGAACAAATGGTGTTGGCGTTGCCCATGACCTCGCAAGCCTTGAGGTGTCTGACGAGGTTCTGGTCCTTCAACATGCGTCTCGTGGCAAATGACAAGGCCAGTGTGACAGCGAGAGGAAGTCCTTCGGGTACGGCGACAACAATAATGGTGACAACGGTGATGACAATGTTGATAAAATCCTGTCCCTTTTGGGCCGGGGTGACGGAGGCCGGCTGCTTGGGAAGCCTGACCAGGAATTCGATGAACAAGACAATGAAGAGCAAGAGACCAGCAGCACCTCCAAGCTTGGCGATATATTCGGCAATGGTGTTGAGCTTCGACTGCAGCGGCGTAACTTCGGGGTCCTCGTCCAGAGCCATGAGAGTCTTTCCGAACGATGAGTGAATACCGGTTGAGGTGACCATAAAAGTGCCAACACCCTCCATGATCCGGGCGCCAGACTGGATAAAGGGGTCGAGCTTCTTGGGGTCGTCGCCGTTCTGGATGGCGTTGAAAACCTCCTCACCGTTCCGCTTCTTGATGATATCCGACTCTCCGGTAGCCTGAGACTCGTCACACTTGACATTGAAGCCCTCGATGAGAATTCCGTCGACAGGGATGAGATCACCCGGTTCGAGATGAATGACGTCTCCAGCCAAGAGGTCGTGGACGGAAAGTTCAATGGTCTTACCCGAGCGGACAACCTTGACATTGCGGTCCTTCTTCCTCTTGTTCAACTTGGCGAATTGTCTTTCCTTGCTGTAATCGTTGAGAGATCCCACGATAACGACGATGGCGATGGCGACGACGATGGCAACACCCTCGACCCACTCGACCTTGGGCTCATCCGCTGCGTGCGGCAAACCCACCGTCTGGTAGATGCCGATAGCGAGTGAAACAACCGCAGCAACGGTCAAGAGTATGAGGACCTTGTCTTGGTAGGTGATCCACATCAGTTCAAGGAGAGTCTTGCCTTTCTTCTCGGGAATTCGGTTGTCCCTAAAAACGCGCTTCCGGTCGGAGAAGCCGCCGTCGCCGTGCTTAGTGTGATGGCCAGTGTTCTGCCTCGGGGGCGCTGCCGGCGCTTCGCTCTCCTTGAAATCGCCAGAAGAGCGGGTGTGACTTGTCGCCTCGCTGAAAGAAACTCGTCCGTCAAGATGTACCTCGTCCAAACTCAAACCCGCCTTGCGATCACTGCGGAGGCCCTTTTCGATACCAGTCAAACCTCCAAGCGCATAGTACGCAGCAAGACTCTTCGGGTTGAACATCTTGTTGAGTTGGCCGGGGGTGAAGGCGAATGGGTTGTCCTCCATCGTAAAGTCACCCTCGCTCCCCTTGTCGGGTCGCAGGGCGGTCTCGTCGTTCATGATCTTGTCGTTGGACATGGGACTAGGTTTCATAGTCTTCTCGGTTGACTGGCTCAAAACGGCGATGGTCTCGCCCTGGGAGGACATGTCGTCGGAGTCGATCGAGTTCTGTCGAGAGCGCAAATTGCTGGGTACGGCCAAGAAGGCGCGGTCCTTTCCTCTCAAGGTCGCAACCGGGCTCGATACATTATGCGGGCTCTGAGGCCTGCTGCTGTCCTTGGCGTCAAAGGAGGTGTCGGCGCGGAGCTTCGGTTTCGAGGGCTTCTCCTGGGACCCTGACCAAGGAGCACCAGCCCCTTCGGGTGCGATCGTCGTCGGGCTGACTCCTTCCTCTTTGGGGGACTCGGGTGAGCTAGAGGCTTCATTCTGAGAATCCTGTGCCATGGCTGGTGCGGCATTCGTGATGTCTACACCGGTGGCAGAGGGATCTATGGTGATTGTCGGACTAGAAAGGCAAATGTCAGTTCTATAGTTGGCGGCTGGAGGGGCAGACAGAAGGGATGAGCCGCAAACGTACGCTCGATTTCTCCGTTGCGGCGCAGGGCCATCCTGAGGGGCGGAATTGGGATCCATGACTCCGGGTCAAGCGCAACACAGCCGCTTTGGTGCGGCGTCGTCTGATGGCGAAGCGAGGCGAATAGAGGCCGCCAGTGTGGTAGATGGATTAGGTAGCGCGAGGCTGTGTCGGTATAAGGAAAGAGGCAGCCGGGAGGCGAAAGGAGTGACAAAAGGCGAGTGAGCTAACTATATTCCGTGATAGGTAGCAATGCCGCGTTGTTGACGTAGTCGGTGAAGATGACGTTGGCGTCTTGTGTTGTTAATGGTAACGGGTGGTGGTGGTGGTTGTATTAGGAAGAGCGCAGCAGCGCGTGTGGTCGTGTGACGATATGAAAGACGTCGTCGTCGTCGTCGGTTTCGGTGTCGACTGTGGACGGGTGTAGGAATAGAAGGGTGAGAGACGTTGGGCCGGGAGGGATTTGGCTGTTCAGAGAAACTGGCCGTTGAACACAAATGTCTCCTTTCACGCGCAATCTCCTTCTCTCAACATGGCGGCAAGCGAGGCAGTGGGCAGGCAGCAAAGCAAGCACGGAGAAAAGAGGAAAGCAGGTGGGAAAGGAAGGATGGAGAGATGGGACGTGAGGTTCGTTTCAATTCCAAGCGGCTACCCAAAAAAGCCAAGACTGAAGAGAGGAGGGTTCGAGACAAGCAGCAGCCAGAGACAGGGACACAGAGAGCGAGAGAGAGAGAGAGAGAGAAAGACAGGATGAGAGGAGCTTTTGCCCCCCTTGTCATGTCCCCGTCTCCAGAAAGAAGGCGGTTGTGTGTGAGTGTGTGTAGTGTACACTACGATGTACTCACAGCAACGTATTGCGTGTGCCACTCGCGCGCACCAAAAGGGCCAGAGGAGTGAGAGTTTGGATCTTCCACATGTGGTGCCAAGAAGGAGGCAGTGCAAAGAAGTACACGTTATTGGCTGGGGGGCAAGGTCCCGAACAGGGGTCGGCCGGTGCACTTTGTAGTAGGGGCGCTGCTACGCTGTTTGCGGTTTAGTGTGCCGTCCTTGCTGGAAGGGGTCCCAGTAGCTTGTCAGGAGAAAGAAGCTCGTCTTGGGCGCATACGTAGATCCAAGTACCCCTTCCGGCTTTGTTGGGTTGGGCAGTACATACCTCTACTTCCCGAGCCCTGGGTCGCACTCCCTTTTCCTCGCCTTCCTCCTCCCTCTCTCTCTCCTCTCCCCGTTCCTCAGTTGGAGTCTGGAAAATCCACCCGCGCCCCGTGTGGAGCCCGCCCCATCTCACACGGTACGTTGCCAAGGCGCGAATGTATCTTTTTCTTGTCTCCTCTTCAATGGCTAGGAAAACTGTGATTCAATTGAATTCCACCGTCTCTACATGTTGCGTCGGTGCGCCTTTTCCAACGCATGAACGACCGAACCGGCGGATCGCCTGGGCGTTTTGCTTCTGCATCTCTGCGTTGCTGCTGTTGCTGCTGTTGCTGCTAGCATTACATGGCATGGCATGGCATGGCATAGCATAGCAGACCCGGATTCGAGCCTCCAGGTGGTCGGGTTACCTCTGCTACTTGGGCTATATATGATGCCACAACAGGGTGGACTTATTGACCCAGGGTGCTAGCCTTGGAACAGGCCATGATTCAAGACGAGAGCACAACACGACGACGATTTGGATGCCGCTATCCACGTCCCACGCCGTTCACTTGGTCTTATCAAACCAACGGATATTTCGCGCCCCACAAGCCCACCCGCCGCCGGCGCTACCTCGACGTGACAACCGCGTTTCTGTTTCCTCTCTGCCTTTGATCGCATCTGCATCTGCATACGACGGATCTGGATCTGTCGCTTCTCGTGTGTCTCCGCCGCCTCGGACAAAGTGCTGTCAGAAACCGCGCAAGGAGGCCCTTGCTCGAGCAACCGTACTCAATCCTCAAGGCTGAGCGCCAGGTTGACTCCCGACGCTCGGCGGCTGCGGGCCTGCTTACTTTTTGGTAACAGTCGAAAAAATCAAGCTACTTTTTGAAAAGATCCCAAACATAGCCTGGCACGCCTTGGCTGTTACTACTACTACTACTACTACTACTGCTAGTCGACTCACGGATAAGCAAACTGATACAGCAATAGCTCATGGACTAAGAGTTTCTGCTCCGCCAGGGAAGAAGAAAGCCTTACTTACCCTCGCGATCCGATGGCGCCTCTTTTCCTTCCCGAAAGCGACTCAAGCCATCTCGATCAGATTCAAGCCCGACGGTGTGGGCACTCTGTTGATTCGTCCACCATCACAGGATTGACCACTTCGAGGCCTTGTAGAAACTTCAAGTCCAAAACGCATACAGTGCGCCAGGTTATGGCCGATCGGGCTGGACGCTGCCTGGTGGGTTACATTGGTGAGGTGACGGCTGAAGATCGACAGTCAGAACGCCATTTCGCAGCAAGAAAGCTTCTACACTAGAATCCCAATAATCCGCTGCTCTGTTACTCTGTAAATCAAATTTCTTGCGTTCGACCTTCTTGATACACCAACTCGGCTTTTCCGACGGTTCCCGGTTCCAAGGCTGTCCCATGCAACCTTGAGGCGGACGTTCTTCAGAGACACACCGGCATTCCACGTCGAACGCGCAAGCCTTCCTTTGCTCTCAGACACTTCTGCCGTATCACATCTAGGTGGGTGATTGTGCCTTGCCTGTTGTCAGTGTGGTTCGGGGAAATCGGGGATCAAGGGCAGACCTTACCGCAAGGACGTGCCCTGCTGGATGACTTCAGACCACCACACCTCTTGAAGCCATCTTCCAGAGATGAGATGCTGCAACGCAAATCACCTCTTCTACGCGGCTGGGGGTATCTTACACGAACAGCACCTGGCAGTATGCCTCGGGCGAAGCGTTCTATCCAGCCTATCGCTGGGTATTGCGCAAGCCAATGACGGCGCATGGAAGTGGCGACACCGATTATCTCACTGCTCTGTTCGGTCAAAGGAAGTAACGATGTGCGTATGAACTTGCCCAGTCTGGCAGGTCGGAACCGTTGGGTTGATACAAGCAATACTCGCAAAAGTCCTCCCGTTCCTCGGGGCCGGTTTGGCTTTCAAGGTACGTATAAAGTTCCGCAAAGCTCAAGGTTCAACGGCGGGGCAACACAGCGACAGATGCCAAAACGCCAAGACAATCTTCATGCCAACGCCCGACGGGCCCTTTTGGATTGCATTCGGGCTTGCATGGCTGGCCCCTTACCTTATCTCAGTAACGAACAAGGTCCAGGCTGCTCTAATCGAAATACGCTCACCATGACTGCACCACTTCCCACGAGCTTTCGGAAGTTGCAGAGTTGCATATGCACACTGGAAGCTGATTGTAGTGTAGAACAACACCATCCTGAACTACACCACCGCAGTAGGTGACGCGCACGGAACAGCGGAGGGCACTGCGGTCAGAGTACCGACATAGTTCCAACCGACAATCATGCATAATGACGACCGGGTCGATCGCATTTCGTAGCAACCCTCACGTTAGACTACCCCTCACATCCGAGTAGGGGATTGCGGCTTACCTCTCGTTGATGACGGTTACAAAGTCTGCCTCGTCGAGTGAGCGGGCGTCTACACCCCATCATGCATAAGCCGCCTCCTGCGGTTGGTATTGGCCACCAGAACCTCCCGCGGAGCTGGGCAACACCGTGGGGACCCGTCCAGAGGGAATCAATCGTGCGTCGGGAAGTGGGTGAGCAGCTCGGCGAAGCCTCACATGTCGAATGGCTTCTTACGGTTCGACGCCCTGTCCGACGAGCAAACTTGAAGAGAAGTGAGGGGACGCGGTAACCAGAAAAGGAGTAAATTCGACGGACGACAATCCACATAATCCCGTCGCATCAACAACAGTTGACCACGGAGAACAAGAGATGACTGCTTGGCATTCGTTGACGCGCTTTGCCAAGGTGTGCCTCCGAAATTACGACAGTGGCCAACGCCTGGTCGAATAAGACGAAGTGTATCGGATATCCTCTCTGGTCCATGCTCGCACAGCGCCTATGGGACGTTCTCCTATTTTCCAGCCTACAAAGAAGAAAGTCCCAAGGTTGCAAATCGCTCACAAAGGCCCAGTGCAATCTTGCAACCCGCTTTGTTTGTTATGGAACCCGCCCATACCATCGAGGCCGGAATGGCGGGTATCCACTACTTAATTCCGTTACCGACATGAGAGGCATCGGAGACCTTACCGAATCGGACGGGCAGAGAACACATCCGTGGAAACGAGAGACGAGCGCCACTGGGGGTCTAGAATTCGGCCCCCTTCTGGATCGTTTGCACGAACCCCACATCCCAGATTCCTGCGAATACCAGAAAACCTGTTGTTTACCTTGTCCGTTATTCGGCATTGCTGGCATGCTGGCGCTGCTGGCAAACCCGCCCCTGTTCTCGGTTGGCCGCTCTGGGCGCGCCCCCCAGATGGCTGGTGGGGGTACAGTTCGGAGGGGGGTATTCGCAGTACCAAGGGGGCTTCCGAAAAGTGGATCAAAACTCGGAGGGGGGTCTAAAAGTTTATACAGCAGTTATGAAGAGGATAAATAAGCGTAGGACAGTGTAAGACTATGATTGGTTGAGAGACAAGCTAGAATCCTGCATTGTCGATACATGTGTTCCGCATATGCTCTACATATACGAGGAAGACGCAGAGCATAACCTGCAGAAAGTAGCGGTGAAGGTCAGTTAGCATCATCTTTTGCATTCACAGGCGGTGAGAGCGAGGAAACGAGGATAAGCAAGCAATAAAATATAGGTGCTGAGGGAGTATAAGTTGAGTACAGTCTCTGCATATGCTGAGGCCTGGCTTAGACCATACTCACCACATACTTCGCTAAGATCCAACAGCAATGGACAATGTGCCAGACGACACTAGTAGCGACTCTGATTTTACTTCACCACCTTTATCTATATTATCTTTTAGTGGATCTGAGGATGAAAATGAAGACTGGAGAGAAGATGCAGGATATCAGAGTATTGATGAAGATAATACTCAAGATAATGATAAAGATGCAATT